AGGTGGAGCCCAACTCTATTAGCGCCTCAAGCCCTACTTAAACCCCTGAACCCGAAGACCCTAAACCCCCTACACCCTAAAACCCTAAACCCAAAAAGTGTTGCGTTGGACGCTTGAAGTTTACTTGAGGTTCAATGAGAAGCGCTCACTCAGAGCCCCTCGCGCCTGAAGTTTGTACCATTCAGAGTGTGTAGGGTTTAGGATTGAAAACCCAACACCCTAAACCCCAAACCCTAAGCCCTAAACCCTAAACCCTAAACCGAAATCCTAAACCCTAAACCCTAAACCCTAAACTGAATGAAGCCCTGAACAGCAAGGCTGTGGAGTTGTTGGCCCCGCTGGTGGCGCGGCATGGATTCGGGTAGCTTGGGGGGGGCGTATCTCACTTGTCTTCGTTGTGTCGGTTTAGGGTATAGGGTTTCGGGTTAGGTTTAGGGTTTAGAGTTTAGGGTTTAGGGTCGGAACCCATGCAGGTTCGGTTACCAGTAGATGTTAAGAATCGAACCCGAGCTGTACTTTGGTTTCGGATTCGGCTGAGTCTGAGTCCCCCTGATGCTGCACTCCTACTGTCAAGTACTATGAGCAGAAGTAGGGCGATGAACCTCAACCCTAAACCGATAAAGGCTTTTGAAAACCCATAAACCAGCTTTGCACAGTCCTGGTCATGGGGAGCGATCCACGTGAGTCCTCTAAAGCCAGGCTCAAGTGTGTATGCTTTGAGGTCAGGGATCCAAAACGACTTCCGCCCTAACCACCCCTACCCCAACAGAAGGACCAGCAAACGTCAATCAAGCCTTATTTCGGCATGTAGCGGGTCGTCCCGTAATGCAGTGGTAGCCCGAAACCCTATACCCTAAGCCCCAATACTAAGCCCTAAACCCTTTGGGACATGAAGCTTCCAGGAAAGATGCCTCGAGCTGGATCTTCATGGTGTTCTGGTTCTGGTCGAAGCGCTACATATGGGGTTTGCGAGAATAGTACCCTTTTGGGCGGGTTCCAATCATAAGGGTATAGTATCTTTTAGGTGTGTTGCCCCTTCTCTCGGAAGTGCCCATATCTGTGCTGCTTAATCCCCTTGAGCCACCCCCCCTGAACGCCTTCAGCAAAAGTCAACCTGCTTCGGTGTCCAGGGTCCATGTACCTCAGTATGGTATACTTGGGCCCCAAAGTCCCTATATAGGAGGTAAACCCTATTTAGGTACATGGACTCTTCGAATTTCCTGCCCAAAGGTGGCACCACATGGATCCGCAGACGCCGCAGCCTTCGGGGCGCCACGTCTGCCTCGATCGAAAGGTTTAGGGTTTTGTAACCTGACCTCTTGGAAGATGCTCTCTGGCACGGTTGCTGTCGGAAGCTCGAACCTACTGTATGTAGCGGAACCCGGAATTGCAATACTCTTCGCCCTAAGCCTCGAACCATGAGCCTAGCCCTAAACCCTAAACCCTAAATCCTAAACCCTAAACCCTAAACCCCAGGAATCCGATGCCCAGATTCTGCAGAGCAGGTGCTCCTCGCGGCGTGCGCAGGGGGCGCACGCTGGGCCGAGGGAAAGGCCAGAGCTAAGGTTAAGGGTTCAGGGTTAAGGGTTTAGGGTTTAGGGTGTAGGGTTTAGGGTTTAGGGTTAGGGTTTCGGGTTTAGGGTTTAGGGTTTAGGGTTTAGGGTTTAGGGTTTAGGGTTTAGGGTTTAGGGTTTAGGGTTTAGGGTTTAGGGTTTAGGGTTTAGGGTTCAGGGGCTTAACCTTACTCACCCACGATTCTTACTGGACAATTTGGGGAAGCATTCGAAACCTCTCTGGGAGAAGGTTTATGGGCTGAGGTGGGTTAGCCTGTGTTTACTGCCTTGGGGTGTAGGGGTTTGGGGTTTAGGGTTTTAGGGTTTTAGGGTTTTAGGGTTTTAGGGTTTTAGGGTTTTAGGGTTTTAGGGTTTAGGGTTTAGGGTTTAGGGTTTAGGGTTTGGGGAGTCTAAACCCTCAGACCCTCAATCCTCAACCCAGGGAGACACTAGCATCCAGAGTAGCCCCTATTCCCTTTTTTTAGGGTTTAGGGTTCCCTTAGAAGCCCCCTTTCAGCACAGAACGGTACCCTTTAAATTCCCAGACCTGCGGGTCTAGGACTAGGGCCTTTATGGTGGGTCTCGGGGCATCTCTCAAGCTCGTAGTAAGGGCTTTAGCTTTGGGAATTTGGTGCCTTGGATCGCCCACGTATATTCATCCCCCGCCATTTTTTCCTTCAAGGGCTGCTCCTAAGAAGTCTCTCGGCGCATCCGCTAAACCCCAAACCCGAAGCTCCAATCCCTACAACCCTAAGCCCCAAATCCTAAACTCCCAAACCCTAAACCCCACACCCTAAACTCCAAACCCTAAACCCCAAACCCTAAAACCCAAATCCCTAAAACCCTAACCCCCAAACCCTAAACCCTAAACCCTGGAGACGGCTGGAGGACCTTTTGGCCCGACTCCGGCAGCGGCGGCTCCGCCTGGACGTCGCGGCCTTCGGAGCTGCCGTGCGGAGTGCCGAGGCGCCCTGGGGTTTAGGGTTTAGGGTTTAGGGTTTAGGGTTTAGGGGTTTAGGGGTTTAGGGGTTTAGGGGTTTAGGGTTAGGCATTTGGCTTTTGGCTTTTGGCTTTTGGCTTTAGGCTTTAGGGTTCAGGGTTCTGGGTCTAGGGTTCTGGGTTTTGGGTTTTGGGTTTAGGGTTGAGAACATTCAGGAGGCTAAGCAATAACCTTTTCGTTCTACCAGTTCAAGCTGAATATAGACCAATATGGGCCCCGATATTCTGTGTGGCGTTATTCTGGATTGTTCGTGGCGTTTAGGTGTTTGGGATTTTGGCTTTCATGTGATTTTGGGTTTGCTTGGAGGGCAGTGAGGATTAGGGCATACTCAGAACGATACTTACATTACATGAACCTTCCAAGTAACTTGGGATTTTCCCCTTTATACTAACGGTCCTTTATAGGGCTTTTGTGCCCCCTATCGAATCCCTGTCAAGGATTGTTCGTATAGCGGGAACATCCCAACAAGTAACTTTCAATTCCCGAAGCCCGAAAAGCCATCCCTTGGCCGCAAGAGGCCAAGCCCGATGTTGCACAGACGTTGGCCTTGGAGATGTGACCTGGCAGGCAGCTGGCCGTGAACTAGACCCTACTTTGATTTCAGGGCGCGCGACGGTCGGTTGCCTAAGAATCTTCTTTCAGGGCTTTAGGTTTAGAGTAGTAACCTACAAAAAAGTGGGTTCAAGGGTATAGGTTAGGAACCCTGGGAGGCAAGCATTCATGTGATTGGTCCGTTTGGTCGGGGGGACAAGGTCGCCAAGGTCGCTGTCTTGGATAGGGGACCCCAAAATGGACCACGATCTAAGTTGTTACAACCCTAAACCCTAAACCCTAAACCCTAAACCCTAAACCCTAAACCCTCATCGAAACCGCAAGCAGCCGCACCCCCTGACTCCCAGCCCAGGCGCCAGCGGGGCTTGCGCGCCACCCCCGCGCTGCGCAACGCGGTGGCCGCCGGGGCGCGCTGGGACGAGGCGACTTTGGACCTTGGGTGCCCTGTTTCGGGTTTAGGGGTTAGGGGTTTAGGGTTTAGGGTTTAGGGTTTAGGGTTTAGGGGGTATGTTACAGCTAGCCATCTGATCTCTGATCTCCTAGGGTATCAAAGGGTTTAGGGCTCAAGGGTATTTCTGGGGTTTAGGGCCATGTAGAGGCTGCTCATGCAGGCGGTTGAAGGAAACATGGCTGTCACAGCTATGACAATGAGCATGGCGACAAGACTTCAGTAGGGTTTAGGGCTTCCGCAGGGTTAGTGCCCTGGTGCCCGCGTTAGTTAGCTTTTGTTCGGTTTGCTCCCTTCAGAGTGGTTAACCCTAAACCCTAAACCCTAAACCCTAAACCCTAAACCCTAGGTTGACTCTCCGCTCGACTCTAAGAGGGCACATGCCTGCAATTTCCTGCAGCCTCTATACTACCCCTTAGTTTTTCCCATAATCAAGGCTATTCAGGGATGATAAAGCCTAACAAAAGTAATTTAAGGGGGGAAACCCTGGGGGGGGGGGGGGGTAGTATAGAGGGGGGTAGTAGGGAAACCCTTGACAAACCCTAAACCCTATAAACCCTAAACCCACATCCACACCTGGATGATTCCCCAAACTTGTAGGAAACCTATGAAAATTAGCTCTTTTCTGGAAAAGGCGCTGCGCCTCTTCATCTACTGCGGCTCTTGTCAGCTCGAGGCGAGGCCTGGGATTTAGGGGTTCAGCTTTGGGGTTTGGTTGAAGGTTTAAATCCTAAACCCTAAACCCTACACCCTAAGCCCTAAGCCCTAATCCTTAGCCTAAACCCTAAACCCAAAAGGTTTTGGGGCTTGCAGGGTTCAGGGTGCACGCGTCAGCGCTTGCTCCGGAAGGGGACGTTCTAGGGCTCTAGGGATGTTTAGGCTTACAGTAACCTCCAAACAGTTGGAACATCTTTATCCCCATGCCCCGAAAGGTATGCTAAAGGGAATCCCAGCTCTAATCATCCTTAAACCATGTTCCAACTTTCTGGAGTGTACTGTATGGGTTTCGGGTTTAGGGTTTAGGGTTTAGGGCCTGTCCAGGGATGTCAATCGAAAGCAGCTGCTACCTTATGTCAGGCCAAAGGGTACTTACCTTCGGATTCACTCCCCGGGGAGTTCTCGACAGACGAAACTAGGAATCAGAGTAGGCCCTTATTCCCTTTCTTGGAAGTTTCAGTTCCCTTGTAAGCCCCTTAAAGCCAAAAAAAGGGGCACCCTTTTTATTGCTAGGCTACTCTTGGGTCCAGGAAAGGTGCTGTCGCAATGACCTACAGGGATAGACAGGGAGCCCAAATTAGCAGAAAGCCGCATGGATCAGAGTACCTAACTCGCACATGGAATTTTCTCACGCAGAACAACAGATGCACCGATCTTGCAGTTTTCTTGTCGAGGCCCAGCTCCCCCTGCGGGCAGGCCTGTCATTATGAGCTTTTCGGGCCCAACATCCATGGCCCCGACCAGTGTCATTTTTCCCGCATCTCTTCCGACTGAGGAGGACATCGTGCTGTCGCGAGACAGTCTGAAGCGAGAGAGGCAAAAGGCTTACGTGCTGATCATCGGCAGTGGTCTGGCATCGCCCTGGTGCTCCTTGTGGATCTTTGAGAACGGTGACGTTTTCTCCATGGAGCTGACCAACCGACTCATGGGATCCCGTTGGCACCGAAGTCGCTACAAGATGCGCTGGCTTCATTCTGCCGCCACAGTCGCCACCCAGAGTACCCCATGCGATTCCCCGCCGCTCTCGCTAAAAGAGGACACCGGCAGTTCTCACGTTGAAGACACCGTGTGGGAAACATCCCTGGAACTGCAGGGTCATGTATGCTACTGTGCTTTTCAATGCGGCCGCCCGTCAGACACAACGGATGACAGGCGAAGCATGGTTGCTGCAAGTGTTGAGCACATGTGGAGCGAGTGCGGCAGACAGCTTGAAACCGGACATGGGGCGATAGAAGATTGCGTCCACAATTTTCTCGAGATGAGTGGCGACAGACACTACATCATGTCTCCCAGCTTAAAGTATCAAGGCGGCGCATTGGTATGTTCTCATTGTATATGCATGCAGGACACCTCACCGCATGATCTCCGCGCACGTGCGAGAGCAGTACCGCTCAACGATGCCTGGTACGACTTGTTCTTGCACAACTCTCAACTCTTCATTGTACAACTTCTGTGTGGGCAGTACGATGCTGAATTCAATCAGCTGCCTCTAGCTGTTGGATCAATTGCCGCCGTCCCTGTCTTGCTAGCGCTGGAAGTCATTTTCGTTGCTGCCTTTCAGGCGCTTCTTTGCTGGCAGCGGGGCTTCGCGACGCTCGTTGGTCTATCGTGGGTTGCAGTAGAGATACACCACACGTGGAGGTATGCGTACTACAACGTACGTCCCACGAGCGGGGTCGTAATCGGCGGCATCTGTACCATGTGTGTGTGGGGTGCAGCCGCGATGAAAGCAGAAGCCAACTCTGCATACACCGACTCGTTGCTGACGTTGAGTCTCATTTGGGATTCGTGCATGGTCGCTGAGGCCTTGATTGTCAACATGGTCTATCGCGATCACAGGTTGCAAGTGCTGAACCTCGCGTCGATCGTTCTGGGATATGCCAGTGTGGCTGTTTTGCAGTGGCTCAATGGATGGCCAGTACAAGACCTTATCAAAGGATCTGCAACAGTGCTCGGTGTTGTCTTCGGCTGGCTGGCAGCCGTTTTTCTCGCCCGACATTATCCACTGGAGTCCGGGGCTTTGCTTTGTGCTGCAACACTTGTCTACATGGCCTGGTGGAGCTTGTATCTTGCTTTGAGTACTGTCGCCACGATTATGCTTATCGTTGTGGGATACATCCTGTTTGGGCTCCTTGGGAAATACCAGGTTTGTGAGAGAGTCGCAGCTTCTGCTTGGGCCTGCATGTATCCATCAAAGATGGAGGACAATGATTTGAAGCTCTCACCAGTGGCACTTTATCGCCCAGTCTATCCTTAAAAGGGTTTTCGCGCCCTGCCTGGGTTCGGTACAATGGGATTGGCCCCTCAGCCTTTTCGGGGTTCCGGGAACCTCTCGAACTTCTACAAACCGGAGTTGTCCAAATATCCTGAGCCCAAGCAAGTTCATCCACCCTACGCTATCACTCTCAGTATCTGGTGGTTTTGGGTTTCAGTGCTCAACCACCTAAGCTGTCGGCCTCTGAAGGCCATGAGGCCCAAATACTACAAGCCGCCAGCCCGTCGTGGTTGCACAGGTCACCGGCCTCTGCTCTTGAGGTTAAGGGTTTAGGGTTTAGGGTTTAGGGTTTAGGGTTTAGGGTTACACGCCTCTATGCCTGGGCTGGGTTTCAGCAGCATCCTTTTCAGGCAGACACTGTGGGTGGCAACGTAGCAGCCTCCGCCTGCGCACAGGCGCTGCTGCTTGCTTCGTAGGCTTTGGGTTCTTGCGGCTTAAAGTCCATAAAGCCCCATCCGTTATACAAAACTCTATATATATATATGTATATATATATATTGTCTATATATATATATATTCCGCCCATATTGGGCATGCCCGGAGATGGGCGACTCCCTTATGTATCCCCAAGCACTAGAATCATTCGTGGTCTCCATCCCACCCAAGTCCAGAAAATGGCCCCCGAACCCGAAAGTATAGGGTCTAGGATTTAGGGTTTAGGGTTTATGGGTACCCCCAAGCCCTAAACCCCCTAAACTTCTGAAACCCTAAACCCCTAAACCCAACTCATTGTAACGCCCAGTCAGAAGCCTGCCTACGCCTTATGAGATTGTGATTTATGGTTTGGGTTCGGGGTTGAGAGTTTAGGCTTTAGCATAGAGTTTCTGCTTGGTTGTCGCTACTAGACAGCAACAGTGCCAGGAGCATCAGTGGCAGCGTGCCGCTACTGCCCTCGACTGCGCCCGAGCGTGGGGTTTGCTGCCTGTGCCTGGGCCCAGAACCTCAGAATACTAAACCCTAAGCCCTAGAGGGGTGTAGAGGGCGGCACGTTTGGACCGGTCTTTGAGTGCATTCTAGCAAGGGATGGAGGGGATGGACTTAGTTTTCAGGCTTCTTCTTTTTATTGTTCAGGGTTTAGGGTTCAGGGTTCAGGGTTTCAGGTTCAGAGGGGAGAGGCAAGGACGGCCAAGCGTCGGAAACCACAAACACATCCAAGCATCCGCTGGGAGTTGATCCCTATCGCTCCAGCTGCGCTGGGGAGGCTCTAGAAAGTGCAAACCCCCAATTCGGGGATCCGGATTCTAGATTTTTCCCAAGGGGTTTGGGAGTTTACGACAATAAGGGACCCCTAATTTGGACCCCATGTAGTAGGATCCCCTTCTAAACAGGACCCCGATAAGGCACCCCTAGTATCGTAAACCCCCGTTTGGGTCGATCCTACTTCCCGGCGAAGGAACCCTAAACCCTAAACCCTAACCCTAAACCCTAAACCCTAACCCTAAACCCTAAACCCTAACCCTAAACACTAAACCCCCAAGGACTCGATGACGCTGCATGCCACCATCCAGTGCTTCGGTTGGGGCCTGCGCTGGGAAACGTCGCTTCGACGGCCCCCTGGGCTGAGACCACTCCCTGATTCCCTAAAGTCCCCTAAACCCTAAACAACCCCAAACCCTAAACCCTAAACCCTAAACCCTAAACAACCCTACTAAACCCTAAGCCCTAAACCCTGAACCCTAAACCCCACAGTACCTAAACCCCATAAAACTCTGAGCTTGTGTCCGGAGGATGGCGGAGAGTGAGGTCGACGATGGGGCCGCAGTGTACATAGGACCCCATTTTTCAGGAGCTGAAGAATCTAAGAAGTTTTCCGGCTTTTAGGAAGTTGGGTTTGTTGGCCTTCCTGTGGGCGCTGCAACTGCTGAGCCTTGCTGTCACATAAGCAGGACTTCGGCCCACATTGTCATCACACTTGTCAGCGCCACCGCTCCAGAGGGTTCAGGCTTGTTATTGAGGCTCTCTTCAGAATTAGAGTATTGGGGCTATGATGCATATGGGATACATGTATGCGAAGACGCAGCTGGCCATACATGAGGCAGCAAAGCTCTTGCCTGTCACCAAGCCAAGATTGGCTCAAATAATCAGGGCATTGTCAGATATAGGTTCGACTGTTGCGAGGCATCATGTCGCCCACCCTTCCGCCGGAGGTTGATGCTGATGAGGGGATGACCGCATCCACCGCAGTCCAGGATGTGCTCTTGGACTTCGGAGAGGATTCGATGTGGGTTTGCTCTGCGTTGCTTCGCTTGACCTCCCCCGTCTTCCACCGCATGCTCGAGAGCGGCATGGCAGAGACACAGCAAAGAATCATCAAGGTGGACATGGTGAACAAAGCCCACTTTGAACTGTTCTATGGCTTGCTCGGGCCTTTGTCATGGAGTCCCGAGAAGGTGACGGAGGCCAACGTCGATGCGCTTCTGGTAGTCAGCGACTACTACCAGGTGAGGATCATCAAGCAGACTTGCGAGGATCTGCTGCTCCGTCTCCCTGCTACCGCCAGGCGCCTCCTCCAAGCCAACCAGCACGGCCTGCAGCGTCAACTGAGAAGGTGCGTCGACTCGTTGGCTCTGACGAGCACGAAGGAGGATTCCTGGTTGGCTTCAATATTTTTTCATTCAGCGAATTTATACCGCTGTGCCAGCTAGAGAATAGTATCGATATGTTCAATAAGAAGCATATCACAGATATATAGCAATAACAAGAATCACTGAAAACAATTAGTAGAAACGAGAGTTAGAATAGCAGTAGCAGTCGTAAGGATAGCAAGAAGAATCATCATAACAATAACCAAACTATATATAACCAGACAAAAGACAGTAATATCATCAACAAGAAGAATCGTCATCTCAATCATTTTAATACCCATCAAAAACACCATGCTAAAAACCATCACAAGAACAATCATCATAATCATCGTTTTGATAGCACTACTGCGAACAACCCTAAGCTCTAAACCCTAAACCCCAAACCCTAAACCCTAAATCCTAAACCCTAAACTCTAAGAAAAGGGTTCCAGGGAGCAGCGGAGGATCTCGAAGAGCTCCGATCATGCGCGCCAGACCTCCTCCTGGAGGTGGCTTTGAAGAAGCAAGATCTCTTGAAGCCGGGTACGCAACAGGGGGTTTAGGGTTTAGGATTTAGATTTTAGGGTTCAGGGCAGGGTTTAGGATCTACGAAACCTAGCTCGGACCCCGAGTTTTTGTTTTATGCCCATCTGTTTGTTGGAGGTTTAGGTAGGACCTTCGGATGTTTTCCCCTTGGGGTCTAGGGGGGGGTCGTATTCAGGAGGTAGGAAGCTGTCAAATTTGTCGGTTAAGGTTTAGGTCGAGAATTACAGTTTGGAGCTGTGTTACTTGTACTTGTCTTCGGGGCTTCAAGAGGACCATACTGCAGTCAGGAACTTGTGCAGAGGCCTGACGTGTCAACCGAGGAACCCCCTCATGGAGTTGAAGAGTCACGTCGCCACGTACAAAAAGGTGCTGGTTAATTCCCCCCAGACGAATATCTCTGCGGAGGAGAAGAGCATCTTCACGACAATCCGGGCAGTGTTGAATATTTTCCAGTGACCTCCAATGTGCGTCAGGAAGTGCCTAAACCCTAAGCCCTAAGCCCTAAGCCCTAAACCCTAAACCCTAAACCCTAAACCCTAAACCCTAAACCCTAAACCCCCACCCCTAAACCCTAAACCCTAAGCACTAAGCCGTAGCTCGCAGAATAGCTCGCCAGCTGCCAAAGGAGAATCTCCTCTTTGTAAGATCTCCGGCGCAAGCTTTCGGGCCTTACACGTCCCGAGCCTTGGGAGGATCTGGAAAAGTAGAGCCCCCTTCACTGGTTCAGGGTTTAGGGTTTTGGGTTCAGAGTTTAGGGTTCCTAAGGAAACCACCCAGGGTTCAGGGAGGGTTCAGTGTTTTTGTTTAGGGCTGTTCTTTTTTGCGAAATCGGCGGCTCTACTCGCGAAATCCTCCTAGGGACTTGGGCACCGAGAACGACACGACTTTCGAAGGTGGACGTTGGACTCCAGCGTGCAAGCTTCAGGAAAACACTTCTGTGCTCCTAGGAGGGGTCTTCAGAACTCGTCTAAGGGTAGTTGCATGGGCCCTTAATATGGTCCCTTACCGGTTCTGAAGCATGGTTCTTGGGTTGTATACGGTCTATAAGAGGTATATAAGGGGTCCCCTTTTAAAGGCCCATACTACGGGACCATGTAACAACCCTAAGAATTCGGTACCGCGTGCTAGCTGCTAGTCCTTTCAGGTGACTGAAAGGTAGCTACTTTCGCCCCCAAATCATCAGGTACCCTGTATACTCCTTTGCAAGGGGTATAAGGTACCTATCACTCCCTAACTACTAACTGTATACTTTCTTTGCAAGGGGTATAAGGTACTTATCACTCCCTAACTACTAACTGTATACTTTCTTTGCAAGGGGTATAAGGTACCTAAAACTCCTTAATTCCCGATGAGCCAGGAAGAAGGGCCAGGTTCATATGCGCAAGGCCGTGAGCCTTGAAACCTTGAGCGCAGAAACTTCCGGGAGTCGTGGAAGCAAACCATGGACCCAAAAGGTTTAGGGCTTAGGGTCTAGGGTTTAGGGTTTAGGGTTTAGGGTTTAGGGTTTAGGGTTTAGGGTTTAGGGTTTAGGGTTTAGGGCGGGTGCTTCGAAGGTCAAGCTCGACTCTTGAAGGCTCTCTGTCCCGGAAGCCTCGGGCAAGCTTTCACCGAAAGCCCTCGTTCCTGCAACATGGGGATTTCCGACATGGGGAGGACCCCTTATATACACCAATATATATATATATGTATATGTATATGTATATGTATATGTATTTATATACATATATAATCCTTTAAAGGAACCCCCAAAAAGGGTAACCCTATTTTGGAAACCCCCATAAGGGGGTCGGAAGAATTACTAGTGGTATTCCCTTATGGTCCCTTTATAAATATCCTATAATGACCCTCCAAAACCCTGTTCTAATTATTAAGGCCCTTATAGTACGTGAGCCTGAGCGAGAGAAGCAAGCCCTGCAACCACCCAAAGCCTGTGCACCCTGGGCCTTTTAACTAAACGCCCGCACCCTGAAACCTTAAGATCCCCCTTTTCATCCCCATGGCTAGCAGTTTCAAAGCTTGGGTAGACCTTCGGGATATGTTCCCTTTGTGAGACCTGGGTTTAAGCCCTCAAGTTTCTAGGCTGGCCTTGCGAAAGAGCCAGTGGTGAGGTTCACCCAAACCTGAAACTCTCAACTCATAACCCCCCATAAACTTCACAAGCCCCAGAAGCCCTGCAAACCCTATAAGCCCTTCGAAAGCTTAACCTCCCCATGACAAGGCAATATCAAATCAGACCTCTATAAACCATAAATCCTATAGACCTTATCAAGCCTCTAAACCCCACAAGCCCCACAAACAGCCATACGCCCCACAAGCACCGTAAGCCCCATACTGAAGGAGCTCCATAAGCCCCATAAGCCATAAACAGCTATAAGCCCCATAAACTTGCACCCTAAAACCCTAAACCCTAAAACCCTAAACCCTTGAACCCGAAACCCTAAAACCCTGAAAGCCGAAACCCCCAAACCCCAAAACCCTAATCAAAGCAGGATCCGCGGCAACAACGGCCTGCGAGCTGGGCTTAGCCTGGCCACAGGCAGTGGCTCTGCTGAAGGCGGGGCTTGAAGCATTTCAAAACGGGCTAATGGGGCTTATGGGTCAGGGTTGTATACCGGGTTTATGGGGCTTATGGGGCTTGTGGGTTAGGGTTGTAGGGCTTCTGGGGCTTATGGGGCTTATGGGTCAGGGTTGTAGGGCTTATGTGGTTGATGGGGTTTCTGGCGTTTCTGGGGTCTAGAGTTCTGATGGGGCTCAGCATTGCGTGGGGGAAAGGGCCGGCTACGCAGGCACGGCCTGAGATCTGCCTTCTGCCTCACCGCCTGTGCTCCATGCCCCCTTCCCTCTTCCCCCCACCCCCCCCCCGCCCTGGCTCCCCACCCCTCCACCCCCCCCCCCCCCCCAAACACCAGTGCTCACAGCATTTGCATGCTGGAAGACGACGTCTGCTTTCCACTCCTTTCTGACAGAGCCTACCTGATCTTCCTGCGCCAGGGCGACGACCATCTTTCAGCTGTGAGGTCAACCCTCCGTGTGACGCGTTTGCGGCTCCCCTCTGCCTGTGTTTTCGTAGGCCCTAAACCCCTAAACCCCTAAACCCCTAAACCCCTAAACCCCTAAACCCCTAAACCCCTAAACCCCTAAACCCCTAAACCCCTAAACCCCTAAACCCCTAAACCCCTAAACCCCTAAACCCCTAAACCCCTAAACCCCTAAACCCTAAACCGCCAAGTTCTCCAGACAGCATGCTGCGCATCTGAGAGAACCAGGACGGGCTCTTATACCCTATAGAACCCCCTAAACAGGCCCTTCATAGGGTTGATTATGGGATTATAGGGCCTAATCGCCCATCCTGGAAGGTGCCTGCCTTGCATAGCAACCCGCAACCTAGCCACAGCGGAGGACGAGCCAAGCGTGCTTGGGCCTGTGGCCTTCGTAGCCGTAGGAAACACAACATGCGGACCTGAAACCCTAAACCCTAAACCCTAAACCCTAAACCCTAAACCCTAAACCCTAAACCCTAAACCCTAAACCCTAAACCCTAAACCCTAAACCCTAAACCCCAAACCCCAAACCCTAAACCCTAAACCCTAAACCCTTACCCCACCCAATGCCCACAGACGGAGCATGGGGTCGGGCGAGACGCATGCGCCTTGAGGGCTGCGCGCAATTTCTGATCACGACACTGAAGCCCCAAACCCTTTCCCCTTAAACCCTGGAGGCCCCAAACCCTAAACCCTAAACCCTCAACCCCAAATCCCAAATCCTAAACCCTCATCCCAAAAGCCTCCCTTCTCCCCCAAACCCCACAATCCTACACCCAAAACCCTGAACCCGGAAGCCCCCTTCTCGTGCCTTGGTCCTTGCGTGCTTGCATGCGCAGGCGCAGATGCTGCCGAGCGCCAGCGCTTTTTGCAGCGCTGCGGCGGCCTGCGCCGGCCGAGCAGGGTTTCATCCGAGGGTTCTATATGGGGCTCCGAGGGGTTATAGGGCTTATAGGGTTCATAGAGGGGTTTTGGGGGCTTGGGGTTCGGAGTTCAGGGTTTTAGGGTTTGTGCTGAGGGTGTGGGATGTTTTTGCTGAGTCTTTGCTGAGGTTTGGGGTGGTGTTTCCGCCGTCTCCGCGGCCTGGCTAGTTGGAGTTTACAGGGGAGCTTGTCATCGTATAACCGAGCCCAATGCAGACTTTAAATTTGCCCACAGCCACAAACCCTAAACACATAGCGAGGCTCTTGAATCTCCCGTTGTGATCAGCATGACTCACTTGTTTATGCACTTGTCTAAGTTGCTGGCTTTTCAGTTACTGAGAACTTGTATATATATATATATATATATATATATTTGTGTCAATATGTATATACATACATATATATATGTGAATATACATATACATATATGTATATGTATATGTATATATATATATATGTATATGTATAGGTATATGTATATGTATATTCATGTAGACATACATACCCGTACGTTCTATTAAACTGAACTTGTGTACGATATTCTGTTATCTTCGGTTATGCCCGGAGGCATGGCTGCTTGGAGCTCTGCCCTAGCAGTGGCGTTGATGCTCCGACGCGAGGGCTTGCAGCAGGCGCTGCGAATAGGGTTTAGGGTTTAGGGGGTTTAGGGGGTTTAGGGGGTTTAGGGGGTTTAGGGGGTTTAGGGGGTTTAGGGGGTTTAGGGGGTTTAGGGGGTTTAGGGTTTAGGGGAACAAGGAAATCCACTTAGGGCTTGTCACCGGGGCACGGTGTCGGAGTAAAGTCCCACAAGCCTCCCGGGAATGAGTTCATGTGCTGAGTACGGCAGGGTTAGCCTTTATCCTTGTCCGGCCTTGAAAACCGACAGCTTAACCTTCCCTAAACCCTCAACCCTATACCCTAAAACCGTAAACCCGAAACCCTAAACCCTAAACCCTAAACCCTAAACCCTAAACCCTAAACCCTAGACTCAGCCAGCCGAGTGAAGGATGCTGCCTTTTTTGCCGCCATTGTGCTGTCAGCCTCCCGGGCGCGGCGATGGAAGCAGGCTATTACCAAGTCTAGGGTTTAGGGTTTAGGGTTTAGGGTTTAGGGTTTAGGGTTTCGGGTTTAGGGTTTTAGGGTTTAGGGTTTAGGGTAGCCGAAAGAAGCAGGCACCCCCCTCTTCTGAGCACAAATAGGGCGGTGTTGAGCCCCTCAGGGTCTGCTTAGAAGGCGGCGTGGAGGGGGCAGCGGGGTTAACCAGGTAGCCAAAGCCCTAGCGCCTGGATGGGCGGTTTAGGGTTTAGGGTTCAGGGTTCAGGGTTCAGGGTTCAGGGTTTATAGTTTAGGGTTTAGGGTTTAGGGTTTAGGAGGGGGGGGGGGCGAGGCGGGGCTAGGCCGTTGGGGGTCAAGGGTTGAGGGTTAAATTCGGGTGGCTTAGGGTTTTGTTTCGTTTTTCATCTCACGGCAAGATCCCGAAACATCCCCACGGGGTGCAGGGTTTAGGGTTTAGGACTCTAGGAATTCAGGATCTGTTTGACATGCATGGGTCTGCTATGGGACCTATTTGGGTTCAGGGTTTAGGGTTTAGGGCTTAGGACTTCTCCTGGGCTTAGGGCTTAGGGCTTTGGGTTTAGGGTTTAGGGTTTAGGGTTTAGGGATTCCCTCAAAAGGAAGTCGCATACTGCCGGGGCCAAGTAAGCCTTCATGAGCCTTGATGGGCTAAGCATGACAAGCCCTGACGCCCACTAAGCCCGAACCTCTAAACCCAAAATCCTTGAACCCTTCCTGTAGCTCGTTGAACAGCAGTTTTCTACCTTAAAAGCCCCCAACACAAGATCAGGCCCAAATGAAGCTTGTTGAGGGCTGTTTGCGTCTAGAATCTTGAAGGGACGAGGACCCACGACCCGCGACAACTTCTGACAAAGAAGAGGGGATCGACACTTAGGGGCTGGGTACTTCACCGTTATTCTTTTGGTGATATGTAATCCTTTACAAACAAAAGCCTTTTTTGTGCTAGGGTATTCAGCCCCTGTTCATTCCGAGAGCAGGATCCTTAACAAGTTTTCTTCAGGTTCGGTCGGGGTCCGGGTGCAGGTCAAAGCATTTTGTTATAAAACCTAAACCCCAAACGCTAAACCCTGCTTCTTTTAAGACATGGGACGGCCACCTTCAGGCCCATACTTTGACGACGGAACGACTTCTTTGGAACATGTTGCCGCAACGGTCGAGTGCAGCATGCGGCGATGATGAGCTTGCCTTGGGCTCACAAAGGTGCTATATGGGAGCAACTCCAAGCCTCGTGGTTTGCCATGTTTCCCTGTTTCTGGGGTAGCTCGTCGGTACAGTCCGCTTGCTGGCGTGTTTGCAGTAGATCTCCACCATGGGTGTTTTCCATAGAACGCGAAAGATCATGTCAGAACTGACAGGTATGGTGTTGCTTCTTGCGCAATGTGGGCTTCCGGTCACCGAGCTTCAACAACCTACCCAGAGACTCCAAAACCCCTTGATTAAGGAATATACCTTAAATCATATTAGGGTTCCTTTAATTTAAGGTATATTCCTTAATTAAGGGGTTTTGGAGGCTCTGTGTGCCATCAGAGCTTCTCCAACTTCCGATGCAGGCAGCAGCCTTGGCGTTGCAGCCCTTCGTGTCGGAACAGACGAGGCTGCCTGCCCTCAAGACGCATCATGAACCCCAGCGAAGCATGTTCAGTGCACCCTGCACCTTTTTCAAGTCTAATATATATATATATATATGTAATACATATATGTATAGCCAAGTAACAGCCAACAGGGCATTTCATGTGTGATAAGCAGGCCCAAGGCCTTCAAAGCCTCGACTCGAACCGGCGCGAGTTGTCGGCGAAACCCCAAGGCCTCAGTAGTTCAGCGCTGCAGCCGGTCCTCCTGAAACCCGACCCCCCTTACCCCCCCTAACAGCCCAAACCCACCTAAATTCTCAGGGCAAACCTATTGCTTTAAACGCAGTTAAACTCCATAAGGCCGCAACTCCAGCGTTAAAGAAGCTTATGTAGACCGAAAAGTGTCAGCGTTCGATTGCAAGCCCGCATAAAGCCTAAACCTTTAGGGTATATCGAGCTCACCCCATGCAAGCCTTGAGGCGCAATATCTTCAACCCGAAGTCGCCCCTAAACCCTTGGCCTCCAACCCTGACCCACAAACAACCAAAATGAGAACCCCGAAGCCCGAAGCTCTATACCCTTAAAAAAACTAAAAGCAACTCCCCAAAAGCTATAAACAAACTCAAACAAAAAAACACCATAAACCAAATAGACAGACTTTAAGAAACACACACAAAAGCAAAACAAAAATAGACTCCAGAGGCCGACGACCCGGTGCGGTGGCACGGCGGCAGCTGCCGCCGCGTCGGTGGCCTGCGAGGCTTGTGCTCCTGTCAGGAGGTGACGAATGTACATAACCCCCCTCCTCCCTTTTAGGGTTAGGGTTTAGGGTTTAGGGTTTAGGGTTTAGGGTTTAGGGTTTAGGGTTTAGGGTTTAGGGTTTAGGGTTTAGGGTTTAGGGTTTAGGGTTTAGGGTTTAGGGTTTAGGGTTTAGGGTTTAGGAGGGGCCGCCTTATTCTGAGGACCCCCAACGGACCATAACTAAGAGAGATCAATATACATACATATATGTATATATACACACACTTTTTTTCAAATATTTGTCTTTGTTTACATATGTGTATATATATATATACACAGGTATATGCGTTTGGCTTATGGTTAGAATTTGTTGTGAACTATAAAGACAGGGGAGGAGGGGGGGGGGGCCTGCATACATAGTTATGATTACTTTTGGTTTGTTTGTTTTGTGTTTGTTTATTTGCCTTGCTTTTTGATGCTGCGTAATGACGTAAATATGTGTTATTTGCCATTTCATATACACACGCATGTTTTATGTGTGTATATATATATGTATATGTTTACACATGTTTTCATTTGCTTGTTGTTTGCTTTATGTATGTAAGATGGTGCGCATCAGGTCTGTTTCTCGCTCAAGACTCGCGCGCCGGCCGCCCCATAGCTGGACATTTTCCCCAGGCACCCGAAAACCTGCCTTGCCAGCACAAAAGCCTACCCATGATTTTTTGCTTCAGCCTTGGGAATACGGTATTTGGGGTTTAGAGAAAAGTCCGTCAACAGCCAACGCTCTTTCTCGCAGGCGGAGGCAGATTCTTGGCCGCACTGGCACATGAGCTGGCTGCGGCTCAACAAGAAGTGACAGTTACCGCAACAAATGTATCGGCACCGCCGACCCCAAACCTCAAGCCCTAAACCCCAAACCCCAAACCCCAAGCCCCAAGCCTCAAAGCACTGCACCTGAGGCTCCCAAGCTGCTTCCCGCGCTCCTCGCCGCGCAGCACACTCAGATGGCGAAGGCCAACACGAGGTTTAGGGTTTAGGGTTTAGGGTTTAGGGTTTAGGGTTTAGGGTTTAGGGCTTAGGGCTTAGGGTTTAGGGTTTAGGGTTTTGGGCAAAGTTTAGGGTTCAAGGTTTAGGGTTCGGGAGGCTTGCTACGGGTGTAGCGTTTAGGGATGTTCAGGGTTCAGGGCTTAGGGAGGTTCAGGGTTTTGGGCTTAGGGTTTACAAGCTATGGAGTTTCCATATCGACATCCGCTCATAGATAATGTTTCTTAGCTGTGCAAAGCCATTTCCCAAGGTTGTGTGGCATCATGGGTAAAACGACGTGGTCCCAATGGCAAAACAACATGTCCACTGAATTCCCTCTATGTTTTGCTGCTAAATATAGTTCACTTCGACATAATATCAACAGACTATTGCAAGGACGGAAGACCCCAAACCCGAACCCCCTACACGCCTCTTCAGGACATTGGCTTTCGGATTGTTTTGGGCTTTGATAACGTCCCACGTAGTCTGGCCCTTAGCCCGGAAGCTTGCACAGGGCTAGGAGCTGGCTGATGACCGTTTGGGGCTTAGGGTTTATGATTAAGGGCTTGGGCGTTTTAGGCTTTGGGTGTAGTGTTAAGGGGGTCTAAAGGGTTACACGACCCTCTGGAATTTTCAGATTCAAACCAGTCTGGTTTTTTGAACTTTGCGCTGAGTGCTGTACCGAAACCCTAAATCTTCAAGCCTAAACCCTACAAACCCTACACCCGGACAGGTGTTGGCTGTGATCGGCAGCGCCGGGTGAATTTGCCTTCCGCCTCAGTGCGCCCCTGCGAAGCTGCGAACGAAAAGAGAAAGCTTCATGCTGCCAGGTTCAGGGGCCATAGGGTTGTGGAAACCGCAAAAGTATTCTGCGTTGACCGTCAAGGCTTTGCCCATGGAGGTTAGGGAGCTTGGCTTGGATGGTCGAAGCAATGCGTTGCTCTGCGAACCCCAAACTTCAGCTCCTGGTATGAACCCGTGACGCCAGACCCTGAAGCCCAAAAAATCAGCAAAGCCCACCACCGCTGAACCCTTAACCCTAAGCCCGAAGCCCTAAACCCCAAAGCCTAAACCCCGAGACTCCCTGACGTGGCAGGAGATTTCGGTTGCAGCTCCGCTCGGGCCTTTCGACGACTCTTTGAGGCTTTGGCTGGGGAATGTTGGGAGACTCGGGGAGGGGCTGGAATATTTTTTCGGGACTTGGGTTAAAGATAAAGTTTAGGGGTTGTCGGGGTTTAGGGTTAGGGCTTTCAGTGTCTCGGGGTTTAGGGCTTTGAGCGCTGTGTTTGTGTTTGGTGGGTTTAGGGTTGTGAAGCTGGGGACGGCATCTTCAGCCCCCTGCTCTTCATCTACCAAGCTTTGCAAATTTAGAGAAATCCACTTGCGGGCAGAGTGGCTGTCTTGAGCGAGGTCAGCAGAACCAACATACTATAGGTGTCGGAATAGTTACTAATGGTATTCCCTTATGGCCTCTATATAATTCTTCTATACTAACCCTCTCAAAACAACCCTAAACCCTAAACCCTAAAACCCTAAACCCTAAACCCTAAACCCTAAACCCTAAACCCTAAACCCCAAACCCTAAACCCTAGACTAATTATTGAGGCAGTGTCAGACTCCGCGTTGCACACTAGCGACTTGCAGGCCGTCATCGCGCAAAGACGGGTCAGTAGTGGCACATAGATGCCCGCAGGGTTTAGGGTCTAGGGTTTAGGGTTTAGGGTTTAGGGTTTAGGGTGGCTCACGTTGATCGTTTATCTCCCGTAGAGCATTAACGCCGAGGCCGCGGGGCCAGTAGATTATCTGTGGCTATAAACCCAGGGCACTTCATGTTATGAGGGAGCTTTTCTTTTTACGTTGCGGTTATGGCCAGCTTCCCTTGAAAGAACCTAAATTACAATGGTTCCATAAGTTCTTTGTCTGGCGTTTCGGTCATTACAGGAGGCCCAAATTCCAAGCACACGGCTCAACCCAGCGTCTGCGTGGAGGCATCTGGGTGTTGTCAAGATGCAGCAGTGAGGGCCGGCAAGACCCCTGCCTTCGCCGCAGCATTTGGGAGTATGCCTTGTATTTCTTGTATCGTATGTCTCTGCTCTGCAACAGGGGTTGCTTCATCCACTGAAGCGGCACAGACACCCAGGCCACAAGAAACCAACGGGCGCTACGAAGGGGTACGGAGTAGCGGGCAGATTTCAGCTCTGCAAGACGCAACCCTTGTCTGCACCAGCACTTGTACAAAGTGACTGTATGCTCATGTGCAGTGCCATCGCCTGCGCATCCCCGCTTGGGGATGATCAGGTCTCTCAGCTACCTGTTCTCGCTGCGGCTGCAGCAAGAAACAGCACGGACGTGCCAGCCGGTGTTTGCACACTCCATGCAGCACCCTTATTATTATTATGATTATGTCGATTTTTTATTAGTATCATTAGTATTCTTACTAGCAGTATTATTATGGTTCTTATGATTATCCCTACAGCTTATGGAAGTTGGACCCCCTGGCAGCCAGCACAGGTGGACGCCGACGAGTCCCGCGCCGACATGTTTCTCCGCTTCCTTGCCCAGACAGACAGGCGTTCTGCTTCCAATCTCTCGAGCCAACTTAGGGTTGTTTCGTCTTACCCTGATTTTTTATGGTATGATTGTTTATACTGATTAATCTGATTATGACCCTTTTTATATGATGATTATTATTGGTATTATTAGAATCATTACTAGTATTATTATGGTTCTTATGATTATGAGTATAGTTTCAGGGTTTTCAATCCTCGGAGTTGTAGAACTAGACGCCCTAAGACTGCGGTCGTAGTTCAACGATTTTGTTTATGGCGTTGGTGACTTGCAGGGTTTGGCACGAAGACTTTACAGGCTACCCCACAAGTCAGATCATGGTGGGATGAAGTTTATTTACCCTTGTTGGGAATGTTCAAGAGTACCTGATCTGGGAATGTTTAAGAGTACCTTATTTGGGAATGTTCAAGAGTATTTTATTTCGGAATGTCTTTTTTCGGTATATATGGCCAACCTGCATGAGTGGGATCGTAAGAGCAACTGTTTTCTTTTCGGAGGCTCATCTTGCTGCTGAACACTGTTCGGGTTTTAGGGTTCAGGGTTTTGGGGTTTAATTGGTCTTGGGCAATGATAGCTTGGATGTGTTCAGACCAAAGATCGAGTGAAACTGCTTGAGTGGGTTTAGTTGTATCTGACCCAACACCGAACCCATCAGAACCCTGCCCCAAGCCTCGGCAGCTGATTTTCACATCACCAATGCCGCCATGACACACCGCTCCCCCCTCGCCCCAAGAGCATCCAGGAATTCAGCCCTACCCCCTAAACCCCAAACCCTAAACCCTAAACCCTAAACCAGGTACAGCCGCCTCAATGGTGGGGCTTCGATCTGAGATGCCACAGTGTGGTTTGGGGGGGCTCGGGGCTCTCCATCGCCTAGGGTTGCAGGTTAAAAGTCTGTAGTATGAACGTTCATATATGTATATTTATCTGTGTACATGTGCTCATATGTGTATCTACATGTATATATATATATATACATTTACATATACATATACACATGTACTCGTCTATGTATATCACATATACGTATGTTGGCGTGGGAATACAATTTGTATACTATATAGATAGGTAGATGTTGATCAACACACCCCAAGACAGCAACCAACACAGTCTAAGTTCACATGGAAAAACATCTCGTTGGAGGTTTGCGTATTCCACGGGATCGGTACCCTAAACCCTGAGCCCTGCACCCAGAACTGATGCCATGATGTCGGATCATCTGCGGCGCAGGCCGCAGGCCCCCAGCAACGGACAAAGCACATAGGACTTCACCTACATTCAAATCTAGGGTCTTTTAGATCAGCACTCCCATGATCAACCAGGACCGAGGAGTTCACCCCCCGCCCCCCCCCCTGGGCCGCCCCAGATTTTAGGCCCAAAAACTCCAAACAGCGCCCGCATCGAAAACAGTACACATCCGAACAGGGCTCAACAAGCTACCCTTGCAGCAAAGGCACGGCCCTCCGGCAGACCACGGGTAAGCCTGGTGCCCCGCTCAGAGTCTCAGATGATCCAACTCGCTGCTGTGAAGTTTCTTGGACAGTTTTGCCTCCGCCGTCCGAGCTTGCAGGATTATGATTGTCATTATTTATGTGCATGATTATTTCTTGTATTGTTATTTTTGCTCGTACTATTGTTGTGATTGTTATTGTGCTTTTTCTTATGGTTTCAGAGGCTGCAAGAGTTCAGCGTGTATTAAGTTGCGAAAACATGCAGACGTTGATGATAGCAGACTTGTCAGTGTGTGCTTGAACTACAGTAGGTGCACTACTGTACTGCAATTCCTCTGGCTATGGCGCCCAAAGTTGCAGGCAAGCGCAAGCGGGTGCAGCAGCAAGAGTGTGCAGAAGCAGAGGCACTGCACTGGTGGACCGGGAAGAATTCGCAAGGTTTGATCGCTTGTTTCAAGAAGGAGCTGGCCCTTTTCCTCAAAGGCTCCTTTGTCGATTGCGACCATTGGTCGCAGCGCAAATTCCTGTACTTTCAGCGCAACTACGCTGAAGTGCCCAGACTGCTCGAAAGGTGCAATAGCGTCATTGATAGCATCAACGACACGGTCGAGGAGCAAATCGACAAAGTTCTTTCAGAAGGTCCTGCAAGCTGGAAAGAGCTCATGGGGGAAGGTGAAGAAGATATGTTGGGCCCCTTCTTGCTTTGCCACCCTGAAGAACACAAAGGCTTTCTGAGATTGTGCCGCCCAGAGGGATCAGGGACATTTGGAACCAAAGGTCCGCAGAAACAGCTCCCGAGCGACCTGTCAGGCAAGGTCAGGCATGCTCTTTTCCGTTGGTGGCACCAGAATGTGCGCGCTTGGGTGGTGAATGCGGAGCAGGATTGCTTTGCATCTCAATTCTCTCGGCTGCTGTGGGGTGCCTCTGCAGATCATGTTGAGATCAAAGTTGTGGGCAGCCCTGCTCGGGCGGCAGTGCACTTCCTATTGCCCGAGTCCGAGCCTTTAGAGACATTGGCTGACATGGCAGATGAACACATCATCAGGAAGTGGCAAGAGCGAAGTGGCCGAGAGGAGGAGTACTATGGCTCATGGCTGCTGGAGATCATCGATGGTCACCGGGCACAGCGTGTGCGACAAGTCATTTGCGAGCTTACGGGCATCAAATGTCCCATGGATGCAGACCCAAAGAAACTACACGAAGTCAATGAGATTGAGCGGTCAATTTCCCACTGGAGAGGATGGATGCAGATGTTTAATTTTCGAGAGTTGATTGATCTGAAGGTTCGATGCCGCGGCATGACGGAGCAAGAAGGACGCCGCATCAAGGGAAAACTGGATGATTGCTTACCGGTCACGCGTATTGATTCCTGCAACGGAGAGTTGCTCCAGGGCTCGGATAACGAGTCTGACTACTTGGAGGATCCAACGTGCCGGATGCTACCCGCGCCAGAGGACCAGCGACTGCTTGCCCACATGAACGGCTTCTAGGTAGGCCCTTGGGACATTTCATATTCTCCCCTACTAGGTTCAAAGAGGATCACATTCAGGAACATCTTTCAGAGGGTTTCAGGGCCAACCTAGGCTCCGAAGAGGAAGCGCAGCTGACCGTCAAGCTCAGCTGGATGAAATTATTGAACTTCGAGTTGAGGGTGGAGGTGCTGGCGCGGGTTCCTGCGGATTACAAGCGCCCCTACCACCTGGTGCGAATCCAGGTAGGCCCTTGGGATATTTTCACCCTTCTGAGTTGAAGAGGATCATACGTAGGAATATCTTTTCGAAGGGTTTTTAGGGTGCCATCCCAGGAATGAAGCCCGGGGACCGAGTCCGACACTTCGAAGGGGTCTAAAGTCGCGTGGATCGGCGAGCCACGGTTGCGAGATGATGGCTTAAGGGTAGAGAAAACTTTATTTAATGACGATTTATGGTTTGTAGGGTTTCGGGTTCAGGTTGTAGGGTTTAGGGTTTTATATAGGGTTTAGGGTTTAGGGTTTAATTTCGAATTCGCCACCAAAGGCCTGTAATTAAGATCAACCCCGCATCCCTCCTGTCTGGCTGGAGCACTGTGGACAAAAGCTGAGCAAGTCATTGCTGCGGTTGTTCGTTGTCGTTGTTTGGGTTTGGCCACAAATTTCTTTTGCCGGAGTTTTCACAGCTGGTAGGCTAGCGGCTTATAGCTGTCTTGGTTGGGATGTCCCGGGGCTGCTCAGCCTCAGAATACGGGACATGCACGAGCCTTCTGCGTCGATGTCTTCTGTGAACCCTAGACCCTAAACCCTAAACCCTAAACCCTAAACCCTAAACCCTAAACCCTAAACCCTATGAGCCCTACGCCCAAACTCTACAAGCCCTGAACCTCAAGCCCCAAACCGGTGGCTCCACAAAAGGGAAGCTCGACAGGCGTTCCCTTACCTCAGAGAGCCATTCTCATCAGGTACGGGACTTCCCCTTCACGCTCATAGAGAAGCCCGCAGGCTGAAGTGCACGGGTGACTTCGGGCTTGCGCTTTAGGGTTAAGGGCTAAGGGGTCGCAGAGCTTTCTGGGTCTTCATTCCCGGTCGTTTTTGTCATGGTGAAATGAAGTCCAGGGAAGTTGTTCAATGCTGCAGGATGATAGGGCACAGGTTGCGTCAACCAACTCCGTGCAGAAGATGCTTGCGCCGTCTTGTCACTTTGCCACATGAGACTGCAGAACTCCCAGGACGTGATCGGTGTTGCAAGAGCTTTTGGGGGGCGGATGTGTGCATGATGTGACCACTAGGTGCCCTCAGCCCCTGAAGCACTCCGACCTGTCATGAGACCTGTTGAGACAAGTCGTGCGCTTAAGTTGCAACTGGTTCTTCCCAGGACCCCGAGTAGACCCTTATTCCCTTTTCTGTGGGTTGAGGTTCCCTTAGAAGCCCCTTTAACCCAAAAGGGTATCCTTTTTCTTCCTGGGCTCCTCTTGGGTCTAGCTTCAGACCTGGAGCCCTAAACACTAAGATCCGAAGGGGGGAAAACGTCCAGAAACACTCTGAAGTGGCTGAGCGCCACGACTTGCGAGGTGAGACTGCCAAGGGCTCTGCGTCCTTTGTGGAGCGTTTGGGGGCGGCTCGGCAGACGTCTCCTTGCAACCCGGTTTAGGGGTAACATGGGGAATACAGGGGTCGGAATTCGTACAAATAGTATTCCCTTGTGGTCCCTATATACATGTACCATTTTGGGCCCCTGCATTGTTGGACTTCGGGCTTTGGGGTTTAGAGTTTAGGGAGGGAGGGTGCAGCATGCAGCTGCGGATGACAGCTGAGCTTACTCCTGAAAGGTCCAGTCAGAGTTGTCTGTTTCCAAGCTTCCCAAGCATATGGACGCCTTGTCTTCACAACCTTGTGATACGTACCACAAGGCGATGGTCAATGCTGGAACTGTTCAGCGTGCAGTGCAGGGGCCTCGGCAAAGAGACCCTAAACCCTAAACCCTAAACCCTAAACCCTAAACCCTAAACCCTAAACCCTAAACCCTAAACCCTAAACCCTAAACCCTAAACCCTAAACCCTAAACCCTAAGCGTCGTGCGCTCGTCCACCTTGAGAGGCAGCTGGGCTTGGGATTTCGTCAGCGGCTTTGAGGATGCATCATCCTTTCGGTTTAGGGTTTAGGGGTTAGGGGTTAGGGATTAGGGGTTAGGGGTTTAGGGTTTAGGGTTCCAACAGCTGGCGATGTAAAGCGCGTCAGCACTTGAACATGATGGTGGTGTGGCGAGCATGGTATGACCCGATGAAGATGGTAGTGTCCATCAAGGATAACCCCACCCTAAACCCTGAACCCTAAACCCCAAAACCCTAACACCCTAAACCCCTAAACCCCTAAAACCCTAAACCCTAACCCTAGAGCCCTAAGTTAGGCTGAAGGGCTATTTCCCGAGGCTGTCTTTCAACGACTCCCGCGACGACCATCGCACTATCACCAGGCCGAGACTAGCCCACTCCCTAAACCGTTGAAACCCTGAAACCTCCAACCCCCTTTTGATATTTGGCATAGGGTGTGGGGTTTAGGGTAACTATTATAACCTCTAGCTGTATCTATGGCGTTTCCGAGATTATAGGGGTACCTTACTGTGGTGCTTATTATTGCTTATTATAAGGGAATCCTACTACATTCTTTCGAGGGGTCCACTATTTTCGTAAACCCCCCATATATATATATATGAGAGAGAGACAGAGAGACAACACTTGGATGTTGCCAGGCTGCTTCAGCCGGTGGCCTACCCTACAGTGGCGCAGGTCGTCTTCGACGGACTTCCGAGGCAGGTTCTGGGCTATGTGAGCTTTAGTAGCAGAGTAGTTACCCTTGAACCTTTTTGGGGGATTAAATCCCTATAAAATCCCAAAGATTAACCTTTAATTCCTGCAGGTTCACAGGACAACTTAGTGAGCACCAGTGGCAACGTTCTGACCGAAATTTCGAGCCTGGCCTAGTAATGCCCAAGCCTTAAAGCCCCAAAGCCACATTCCTTGGCAATCACGTTTCAATCTAGTGGTTGTACAACACCAGGAATATGCGCAAAGCATGTTTTTCAAGATTAAATTCAAGTGCAGTTCTGGACCTGTAGGAATATACATACAATGTAGGTACATCGTCCCCAGTGTGCCCTGCAGCATCAGCCACCAAAGCCTGGATCAGCTTCACCTGCAATGCCGGGACAGGACATTCGCGCAGAAAGCCCTCGACAGCCTTGCCGCAGCTCAGGCGGACTTCGGACGACCGTCAGAGTGTGTAGGGCGTAGTAGGGCATTCTCGGTAGGCCCTTGGGACGCCTTCTATTTTCCCTTGTTGGGTTCAAGAGGATTACATTCAGGAATATGTTTTCAGAGAGTTTTAAGGGATATCCTAGGCATAGTTCCCTGCATAGTGTTCTCCCTGGCGAGCTATCGGAAGATGAAGCCCCGGTGGCCTATTTGGGATGGCGCATTACATAATCTACTCTTTGCTCAAGAACCCCCCAAAATATAAACTTAATAATCTTGATATCGCCACTATAAGGAATCATATTATAATTTCTTGGAGGGTTCTTGAGCAAATAGTAGATAAGCTCCCGAGCCTAAAACCACTTAAGCCAGGAAAATGCAGTGGCATCCTGTTGATGATGAAGGAAAGGTTGCTTAATTGATATTAAACGGTTCCCTGCATCCCTCGCATTTCCATGCACCAGGGCCTTCCTCCCAGCGCCGCGAACACCGCGGCTCTCGCTGCCGAGAGTGGCGGCGACCTGCGTCAGGCATGCTGAAAATGTTTCCTAGATCGCCCTTGGGAATTATTTTTGTTTACATAAAACCCAAGAGAATATCAAACACATATTGTTTTATTAAAGTTCTAAGGGGAGTATAGTTTCCTCGTCGCCATTTAGCACGTCTTCAGGGGTCGGGTTCAGGGTCAAGAGGGCGGCGCATGTGCGTGTGTGCAATATGCATACATACATGCATGTACATATACACACACACACTTTTTCGAATGACTAAAAATCTAAAAACTTGTGTTCTGTTTTAGGTTTTGGTTTCGCAGCGCGGTACATCCCGTAATTAAGTTCTTCACGTTAAGTCGAGAACGCTTTCTACGTGCTCACAGCGTCCTCTCCGCGGATTTTCTGCACGAGCAGCAGGCCATCAATGCGTTGCAGCTGTGGACAGGGAGCCGACGATGCCACGCACCCAGCCTATCAGCATCAGGCTTTGAAACGGCGGACGCTCCGGGCTGCTTAGGTATAGGTCTCATGGGAAGGGCCAAAGTCACTCGATCGAGAGGCTTTCACCTTGCTGTCCGCGCATGCTCGCTACTTCTCGCGGATGCGCGAATCGTCTTGTCTTTACTCCACCGAGCTGCACGCCCAAGCCTTGAACCCGGCATGAGGAACACCCTTCTGAAGAATCAAGCTTCTTAGAACCCTGCACCTAAGGCCGAAAGCAGTAGGATCTAAGACCTTCAGTTTATGTGGCATGGGCTGCAACCTTGAACCCTAGACCCTGAAGGATCCCAAAACCCGAAACCGCCAAGTTCCCCCACCCTTCCTAGGTAGGACAAGGGCGACCCTTAAACGGGAACCCTTCTAAACCCTCTTCTGGCCCTCTTGAACAGGGACCTTATTGAGAGGGTCTGTATCCCCAAGGGTCCCCCTAATCCTATCCCCCCACCCCCGCCGCATCAGGGGTCCCAGCCGCCGCCAGCAACAGTCGGGGTCGCAATCGAGGCTTGGCGGAGCTGATGTTTCTTTTTGGGCTGGGGGGGGGTTTGGGTGTTTTTTGTGTTCAAGTTTTGTTATGATGTTATGGTACTATTTTTCATGGGTGCTGTTTAAGAGGGGCTTAGGACAGAGGGTTTGTGGTTTTGGATGTTGGTGCTCTTTGTATTAGTTATTACTTCTTTCTTTTTTTTTGGGGGGGGGGGGGAATACTGTAGGATTGCTTGGGGTCTAAAGAGAGCACCTCAAGCCCTAAAGCCTCAACTTGAACATAATGAGTCGACCCAGGGCCTCTGGAGGTTTAGGACCCGTTTCGGGGTTTTAGGGTTTAGGGTTTAGGGTTTAGGGTTTACGGTTTAGGGTTTAGAGTTTAGGGTTTAGGGTTTCGGGAGTTTAGGGCTCTTGGGTCTCTAGCAAATTCATGCCCCAAGAGCCCCAGCCCCCCCTGACCCCAGGCCCTAAAGCGCAAGCGGCCAAGCAGCTGCAGGCGGAGGCACCGGGTATAGGGTTTAGGGTCTAGGGTTTAGGGTTTAGGGAGAGGGTGCGCCAGGTCCTGCACAATATGTCGGGAATCGAGATTCTGGGATTGCTTTGCACCCCAGCTATGATTAAGGAATGTACCTTTGCAGAGCCCCCCGAGTAACCCTACTTTAACTGTACTTTAACACAATGAAAACCAGATTAGGGCACGTAAGGGGCTTATAAGTGGGATAGAAGCTATGATCGGGTCATACACACCATGAGGGCTGTTGGAAGTTCTACTTTCAATTCCTTCTAAAGCCGTCCTGGGACGACCCCGCAACACAAGCTGGCTGGGCGCCCTAAACCCTGCACACCACAAACTATCTCATTCTGTTCGCCACTGTCACCCAGATAGCAGCCAGTACACCCGAAGCCCAAAGCCCTTGAGACCTAAGAAAGGTGGGGGGTTGGGGGGGGGGGGGGTTCGTAACCCTTAGCTTCACGCGGGTTTTCAGTCCTCCATGAGAAAGCACGCCGGCGGACCCCCTTTGAGGTACCCTCAACCATCCAGCACGCCCCTAAGTGCTAATCCCCTGTTTGAGCCGTAAACCCTACAAGCCCTAAATCCTTCAAACACCAAAAGCATTGAAATCCCAAGAAGCCTTTGAAATTTGAAGCCTGAACCCCTTGAACCTTCGGCCGAGATGGCAGCCCCAGAAGCTTAAACTCCAAAACCCACACCCTAAGCCTTTACTTAGCAGGCCCTATTAGAATCCTTAACCCAAGCCCTAAACCCTATGCTAAACCCTTCGGACTAAACCCTTCGGACTCTAAACCCCAAACCCCAAACCCCAAGCCCTAAACACTAAACCCTAAATCCCAAACCCTACACCCCAAACCCTAAACCCTAAACCCTAAGCACTAAACCCCAAACCCCAAACCCCAAACCCCAAACCCCAAACCCCAAACCCCAAACCCCAAACCCTAAACCCTAAACCCTAAACCCTAAACCCTTAACCCTTAACCCTTAACCCTTAACCCTTAACCCTTAACCCTAAACCCTAAACCCTAAACCCTAAACCCTAAACCCAACCCCAAACCCTAAACCCGAAACCCAAAACCCTAAACCCTAAACCCTAAGCACTAAACCCCAAACCCCAAACCCTAAACCCTAAACCCTAAACCCCAAACCCTAAACCCCAAACCCTAAACCCCAAACCCCAAACCCTAAACGCGCCACCTCCTGGAAAGGCCTCCCGCGATGCCGAGGCCTCGCTGCGCAGCGCCAACCTGGGGCTTCTTGGCCCATGCAGCTTAGGGTGGTTTAGGGTTGAGGGTTTGGGGTTTGGGGTTTGGGGTTTGGGGTTTAGGGTTTGGGGTTTGGGGTTTGGGGTTTGGGGTTTAGGGTTTGGGGTTTGGGGTTTGGGGTTTAGGGTTTGGGGTTTAGGGTTTAGGGTTTGGGGTTTTAGGGTTTAAGGGTTTGGGGTTTCGGGTTTAGGATTTGGGGTTTAGGGTTTGGGTTTGTGGTTTAGGGTTTGGGGTGGGGTTTGGGGTTTGGGGTTTAGGGTTTAGGGTTTGGGGTTTGGGGTTTAGGGTTTGGGGTTTAGGGTTTAGTGTTTGGTGTTTGGTGTTTAGGGTTTTAGGGTTTAGGGTTTGGGGTTTAGGGTTTGGGGTTTGGGGTTTAGGGTTTGGGGTTTAGGGTTTGGGGTTTGGGGTTTAGGGTTTGGGGTCTGGGGTTTGGGGTTTAGGGTTTGGGGTTTAGGGTTTGGGGTTTGGGGTTTAGGGTTTAGGGTTCAGGGTTTGTGGCTTAGGGTTTGGGGTTAGGGCTTGGGGGTTTAGGGGTTAGGGTTGGGGGTCTATAGGGTTTAGGGTCTGGGTTTTGAGGTATTTAGAGTTTAGGGTTCAGGGTTTGTGGCTTAGGGTTTAGATATTAGGGTTTGGGGTCTTTCGGGTTTAGGGTCTAGGTTTTGGGGTATATATGGTTCAGGGTTCGTAGGGTTTGCAGTTCAGGGTTTGGGGTTTAGGGTTTGGGGTTTAGGGTTTGGGGTTTAGGGTTTGGGGTTTAGGGTTTGGGGTTTAGGGTTTAGGGTTTGGGGTTTAGGGTTTGGGGTTTAGGGTTTAGGGTTTGGGGTTTAGGGTTTAGGGTTTGGGGTTTAGAGTTTGGGGTTTAGGGTTTAGGGTTTGGGGTTTAGGGTTTGGGGTTTAGGGTTTAGGGTTTGGGGTTTAGGGTTTGGGGTTTAGGGTTTGGGGTTTAGGGTTGAGGGTTCAGGGTTTATGGCTTAGGCTTTGGGGTTTGGGGTTTAGGGGTTAGGGTATCTAGAGTTTGTGGTGGCATTTTGGGTTTGGGGTTTGGGGTTTAGGATTAGGGTTTGGGGTTGAGGGTTAGGGTTTGGGGTTTAGGGTTTTGATCCAGGGTTCAGGGTTTGAGGTTTAGGGTTTAGAGGGTTTGGGTTTAGGGGGTTTGGGGGTTCAGGTTGACTGTAGGGTTTAGGAGGTTTTTGGTGTTTAGGGTTTAGGCGATGATAATCAGGGCCTTCGCGTTTTTTGCCTATCAGGATTTGGAGTTTAGGGGTTAGGGTTTAGGAGTTTCGGATTGAGGGGTTTTAGGGTTCAGGGGTATAGGGTCTTAGTGTGTCAGATTTTTGAAGTTGTTCAGGGTTTTGACTTGATAGGGTTGAGAGGTATAGGGATCCAAGTAGGGGTTTAGGGTCGAGAGTTTCGGTTAACTAGGGGCTTAGTTTGGGGTCTTGAGAAAGTTTTAGGGTTTTTTGGATCTGTCAGAAGTTTAGGGTTTTAGGGACTTCGGGGATCAGGGATGTAGGGGTTGCTGGGGGCGTGGGGGTCTAGGTTTTAGGGTTGAGCGCCTAGAGTTGCCTTCGACGTGTATGTGTTTTTAAGGTTCTTACGGCTCATCAAGGGAGAGCGGTGCTTAGTGGGGCTTCAGGCCTTCAGGGCATGGGAGTGAGGTCATGAGATGCAGCTTGGGGGCTGGAAGATGAAGATGGGGGGGATGTTTTGAACGATTGCACTGGGAAATATATACTGGCGTTCTTGCTGGTCGCTTTGCTCTGACGAGCTGCCCCCCCCCCCCCCCCCTAAACCCTAAACCCGAAACCCTACAAACCCTACAAACCCTACAAACCCTACAAACCCTACAAACCCTAGAAACCCTACAAACCCTACAAACCCTACAAACCCTACAAACCCTACAAACCCTGCAAACCCTACAAACCCTGCAAAACCTAACGCTTGCATCCCATAGATCCTAGGCCAGGCAACTGAAGGTCAAAAGCCTGGTCCTCATTCCTGATCCATAACCTGGGTTTAGGGTTTAGGGTTTAGGGTTTAGGGTTTAGGGTTTTAGGGTTTTAGGGTTTTAGGGTTTTAAAGGTTTTAGGGGTTTAGGGTTTTCACGAAAGCTCGCGTAGCGAAGCTGGAGTTTTATCTGCTTTAGCAGCAGGGGGCCGACCACGGCCAGAAAACAGCGTATTATTGATACTATCTTATTAGGGGGGGGTGGGGGGGGGGGGGGGGGGGGGGGGGGTGGGGGGGGGGGGGGGTAAATTGATATATCACACGAATTCCTTGGTTTTGGAAGGGGGGAGGGGGGGGGTGGGGGTAAATTGATACATCACACGAATTCCCTGGTTTTGGAGGGGGGGGGGTGGGGGGGGGGGGGTAAATTGATATATCAATACCTTAAGGGGAGGCGTTTTTACGTCAAGACCTGACTCCGTCGCGTGTTGACCGCAGCGCGTGAGTCAGGGTCCCAGCACAACATGCGTCGCCGCCCACTAGTGATGTGTTGATTGCAACAAGCTAGTTGATTGCAAGAAGCTAGTATCTACCCAACACTGCGGCTGAAAAGAAGACGCGGGCCCCTCAAGCATGCCTCCAACTGGGCCCTGCCCGCACTTTCTCTTGCAACTTTGCTCTTGCTTCCGGCCCCCGAGCTTTCGTCCTCCCTGCCTCCGGCCCTCAAGTAGGGTTTTAGGGTTTTGGCGTTTTAGGGTTTTAGGGTTTTAGGGTTTCAGGGTTTTAGGGTTTCAGGGTTTCAGGGTTTCAGGGTTTTAGGGTTTTATGGTTTTATGGTTTTAGGGTTTTAGCGTTTTAGCGTTTTAGCGTTTTAGCGTTTTAGCGTTTTAGGGTTTTAGGGGTTTAGGGGTTTAGGGGTTTAGGGGTTTAGGGTTCGGGAATGGGCTTGTTCGTAGGTTAGCGAAAAGTTGGACCTTTGGCTAGGTGCTAAAGTGTAGTCAAGCGTTCAGGAACTTTGTCTAGTATTCTGAGTACAACAACAGGGATACATGGGCAATATGTGGTTTCCTTCTTCGTGTAACGATTATAGGATCCGATGCCCTGAGCCCTAACCCCCCTGCAAACCTTGCTTGCGCCCATAAAAAGCCCAAACGAATTCTTCCAAACCATATTGAGCCCAAGCGAACTCTTATAAGCCATTGGGAAACCAAATTCACCCTTAGAAACCCTCAACCCTGAATTCTAAATCCTATACTCTAAACCCTACACCCTAAACCCTAACCCTGGTGAAACCTCGTAAGCCCTTAGTGTAAGTTCCTTAGCAGCAGCCCCGCGAATCCCAGGCTCTTCCATGCACTTGGGCGTTTGCTCTGGTGCCTTGGAAAGGAATCTCAGTGTTGAGCCCTAGCGTTTAAGGTTTAGGGTTTAGGGCTTATGGTTGAGGTTTTAGGGCTCAGGGTTTGGGGAGGTTCGATTGGCTTGAGGTGTCAACAGGAAGTCTTGGGTTGTGGGAAGCTCCTTATGGGAGAGCATTCTTCCCATCCCTGGCAGTCTTGTACCTCAGTTGCACTGGTTTTGGGGTGGGATATCGGTTTAGGGTTGAGGGTTTAGGGTTTAGGGTCTGTTGGGGTCTAGGTTGAGGGTTTAGGGTTCAGGGTTTGGGATTCCCATCACCCCGCAGAAGGCAAGGCACGCTGACTCGTTGCAGCGACAGTGGAGTATTTGTGCTCATAATTTGTCAACTGTTTATGGGCCCCTAGGTCGTATAGGGTATGGTAAGGGTTCGCCAATGAAGGCCCCAAACCAAGGGGACCATGGAGCTGCCCTAAGAGGTACGCGTTGACGAGGCAGTTCAGGCAAAGTAAGGCGCAGCGGAATATGCAGGTTTACGAAAATAGGGGAGCCCGAACAGAGACCCCCAAATAGTAGGATTCCCTTAGAATAATAAGGACACCAAGAAGAAACCTCAAAATTCGGAAACCCTCGAATATCGAACGCCCGTGGGCAGCTGATGCCGCCGATGCCTTAAGCCGAAACCCCGATCAGATTCAACCTCGGGTGCTTGGCGGTTCAGGGTGCTTAGTAACCCAACTATAACTGTACTTCGAACCCAGTTATAAGCCTATTAGGGCACCTAAGGGGCTTATGAGTGGGTTCTAAGTACAGTCATAATTAACTTGTTCAACAAAGGATGGTCATCGTTGGGTACTTGCCCGTTCGGTTTCGAGTGTTTTTTGGGAGGATGTTTTTTTGTAGGTAGGTCAACTCGGGTTAGGGTTTGGGGGTGTGGGGGTGTTCGCTGAGACTTGAGCGTTCGAGGCCAAGAAATCCTAAACCCCCCCAAACCCTAAACTTCGAGGATGATTTTCTAGACGCACCCCCTTTACTCGCGAAAGACCTGGTTGGTTCATAGTAGCTAGGTACTTCTAGAGCAGCCGAAGCATTCAGCATGAGGTAGGTAGATGATCTGAGAAGCTCCCCCTTGTAACCGTTCTTAATCGGGTTTAGGGTTTAGGGTTTAGGGTTTAGAATAGGGGGTACGAAAATCCCTGTTCGTAGAACGGGATCCCAAGAGATGATCTACTTTCCGGATTCCAACAACTCAGCTGGCAGGGTGCAACAGGTTTACGGCTCCTCAACCCTTCGCCCCGCACCCCAAAGCCTCGTCCCGCTTTAGGGTTTAGGGTTTAGGGTTTAGGGCTTGTCGACCTAACATGCGTAGTAGGTGGAAAGAGAGACGGACGTCCGAAACCTTCAGTGCAAAAGAGTTCCGTCATGCCTATGGAGCTCTACTATATCCCACCCCAGGATGCCACCCAGAGCAATTGTAAGAAGCTTGAGCGCTTAAGCGTATCCGCAATACTATTGTATTAGAAATGACAATACTGTCTGGAAATACGTCGAATATTTGTACACAGATAATGCACTTACACGGTAAATGGCTGTAATTATGTTCCATAATTACCATTTACCTCTAGGCAAGACTAGAAAGTCGGCTGTTCACTTCCCGTGCGGGCATCTTACGTTCCGGCAATTACTTACCCCCTCCTGGGTACTCCTAACAAGATTTAAAACGAATTGGGAATCGAGCCATTTTTCCCGAAGCCTGGTGTACCCCCCACGGAGCCTCCCTGGGACCTTCGAAAGAACTTGCAGCCTCTTCAGACCTTCGAAAGAGCTTATTCCATGAGGCCACACACGAAACGCTGTTTTGGAATAATTTTTGGCCCCAAGCACGATTTAGCAAGGCCAGACAAAGAAAAACGCGCTGTTCCCGAGTAATTTTTGGCTCCAGGCCTTTGGCTGGCCACGAGCACTCGAGGGTCCATTTTCCTAAGTCGCTTTGGGGGCTTCAGGGACACAGAGAAACGCGCTGTTTTGGAGTAATTTTTGGCCCCAAGCACGATTTTGCAAGGCCAGACAAAGGAAAACGCGCTGTTCCCGAGTAATTTTTGGCTCCAAGCCTTTGGCTGGCCACGAGCACTCGAGGGTCCATTTTCCTAAGTCGCTTTGGGGGCTTCAGGGGGCTTACCCTCTCCTGGGCTACCCCACGCGAAGGCAACAAATCTAGAAAATGCAGGGGGTCATTTCTGCTATATAAATTCTATTTAAAACGAATTGGGAATTGAGCCATTTTTCCCGAATCCTGGGGTACCCCCCACGGAGCCTCCTTGGGACCTTCGAAAGAGCTTGCAGCCTCTTCAGACCTTCGAAAGAGCTTATTCACAGAGGTCACACACAAAGAAACGCGCTGTTTTGGAGTAAATTTTGGCACCAAACACGATTTAGCAAGGCCAGACAAAGAAAAACGCGCTGTTCCCGAGTAATTTTTGGCTCCAGGCCTTTGGCTGGCCACGAGCACTCGAGGGTCCATTTTCCTAAGTCGCTTTGGGGGCTTCAGGGACACAGAGAAACGCGCTGTTTTGGAGTAGTTTTTGGCCCCAAGCACGATTTTGCAAGGCCAGACAAAGGAAAACGCGCTGTTCCCGAGTAATTTTTGGCTCCAAGCCTTTGGCTGGCCACGAGCGCTCGAGGGTCCATTTTCCTAAGTCGACCTTCTCCTGGGCTACCCACACGAAGGCAACAAATCTAGAAAATGCAGGGGGTCATTTCTGCTATATACATTCTATTTAAAACGAATTGGGAATCGAGCCATTTTTCCCGAATCCTGGGGTACCCCCCACGAAGCTTCCCTGGGACCTTCGAAAGAGCTTGCAGCCTCTTTTCGAAAGAGCTTATTCAGAGAGGCCACACACGAAACGCGCTGTTTTGGAGTAATTTTTGGCCCCAAGCACGATTTAACAAGGCCAGACAAAGAAAAACGCGCTGTTCCCGAGTAATTTTTGGCTCCAGGCCTTTGGCTGGCCACGAGCACTCGAGGGTCCATTCGTGGGAGCGACGTTAGGAGGCTGCCTGTAGGGTTCAAATTATTACTGTAATAGTACTGACAGTACTGTCTCGTAGAAATATTAAAGAATATTTGTACACAGACAATGCACTTACACAGTAAATGGCTGTAATTATGTTCCATAATTACCATTTACCTCTAGGTAAGACTAGTAAGTCGGTTGTTCACTTCCCGTACGGGTGTCATACGCTCCTGTACGTGAGAAGGCATAAGCTGGCACACAGGCTTAGGCTTTTGAGTTTAGGGTTTAGGGTTTAGGGTTTAGGGCCCTTGTAGGAAGTGCCAGAATCCTCATTGTCGGAAACCCCCCTGAAAAAGGTATTCCCGTTTCCGGAACCACCTCAACCCTAAACCCTAAACCCTAAACCCTAAGCCCTCAAATCAAAAAGAGCTACGGAGGTGCAAACGAATACCGCCAGGCAAGGGGGGCTTAGGGTTGAGCAAGGGACCAGAGTAGGGACCCTTATAAGGGACCTTGGGGGGGTCTTTCGTTAGCGGCTACTTAGGTGCATAGGGACTATTATAAGGTATGTATATATATATATATATGGGTATTATATGGGGTTATATAGGGGAATAAGATTTCAGGGTCCCTGCTAGGGGTCCCTCCTTGTATCCTTAAGTTCAGGTAGGGGCTGGAGGATCGAAGTTGCTGGGGTTGGCACTGGGTCATTTAGGGTTTCGGGTATAGGGTTTAGGGTTTGGAGTTTAGGGTTTAGGGTTTAGAGCTCTTAAGTTTTAAGGCTCTACCTAAGCTTCTACCTCGGACCCTCTTTACCTACAGTTTAGTAGTAGCTAGCCTGAATTAAAAGCTGTAGGTAAAGAGGGTGCCAGGTAGGGCTTTCGAGTTCTAGCGCTTTCGGGTTGAGCTACTTCTTCGCGTCTTCGGGTAACCCAAGGGTTGCAGTTAATGAACATCGGTTGCGGACATCCACATGTAGAGGGCGGAGAGACTTCCTCCAGAAAGAGCCAGTACGTGAGGTTAATGTCAGGCATGTCCTGTTTTGCACCACTTCGTTTTGTGATGAAAATCCTGCAGCTTCTCGTGTTTTATCGTTGCTGCTTGAAGTAGTGAGTAGCGGGGATGCCCCTTTCCACTTCAAGAACTCAGAAAGTCTGCAGATTGGCAACCTAAACCCTCTTGACCTACAGTTTGCAATTAACTGCCCTTAATTAGTAGGTATGACATAAAACGGCTCCCAGGTAGTAATTGGTAGGTATGACATAAAAAGGCTCACAGGCAGTCCCTATCACACTGCACAGCGAAGGCAAGGCTGTGAACCGTAAACACCAAGACACCAAAAAAACCCTGACACCATCCCAACCCGATAGCCTTAAGACCCGAAAACCCCAAAAAACTCCAGAGCCCTTTAACTAGCTTGAAACCCCAAAAAACTCTCAACCCGAAACCCTAAGCCCGCAAACCCTAAACCCTAAACCCTAAACCCCAAACCCCATAAACACTAAACCCGTACGTAAGGCACCCAAAACCCGCCAGGCGGGGAGGAGGTCGAGACTTCCGCTAGCCGAGCCCTTGGGTTTGGGGTTTAGGGCCGGCTAAGGGTTTAGGGTTTAGGGTTTAGGGTTTAGGGTTTAGGGTTTAGGGTTTAGGGTTTAGGGTTTAGGGTTTAGGGTTTAGGGTTTAGGGTTTAGGGTTTAGGGTTTAGGGTTTAGGGTTGGGGGTTTAAGGCCGGTTGGGGGGTGGGACTCCGTCCGTGAGGGCTTGCGGGGTGATTCTTGTTTTTGTTTTGGTGGGGGGGGGGGGGGGGGGGGGGGGGGGGGTTAGGGTTGCAGGTTTGGGGTTTTCAGGGTTTGGAGGGTTTAGAGAGGGTTTGGAGGGGTTAGAGTTCGCAGGGTTTTGAGGGTTTCGGCCTCAAAGGGCTTGAGGGAGCAGAATGCGCCCAGACCAGACGTGGAGAAGCTCTTGTGCGGCGTCTTGTTGTTAGTGTGATTGTTTGGTTGGTAAACCCTAAACCCTAAAGTCCTAAACGTGTTTTGTTGGTCTCCCTGTGGCAGCTTGGCGTTTTGTTGCGTCGACTGGCAAGCCGCCAGTCATTGTTCCCAAAACCGTATAGCCCCGACTCCGTGCCAGCCCCAAACCCCTAAGCAAAAGATAGCCTCAAACTCTAAGATTCCCGAACCTTCAACACTGAACCCTGAAGTAAACCCTAGGATTCCTGAACCCTCAACACCTGAACACAGTTGTTAGGGTACATGTTCCCTGACTATGGGCCCCTAATTGGGGAACCTTCATATGTTGCTTACCCTGCAACCCCAGGGTCCATATTCAGGGGACCGTTGAAACCCACAAACTTGGGATATTCCCGCTTATACTAACAGTGCTTAATAGGAAATATAATCGGGGGTACGATCATCCCTACTAAGGACTGTTGGTATAAGGGGGAAAATCCCAACCCTAAACCCTAAACCCTAAACCCTAAATCCTAAACCCTAAATCCTAAATCCTAAACCCTATACCCTAAACCCTAAACCCTAAACCCTAAACCCTAACCCCTGGCATGAACCCTTTAGCCTTTAGAGTCCCCAAAAGCTGAACTTCATGTTCCAGGTGGCGCCAAGCGTAGGCGCAAAGGTGCCACGGGAGGCTGGCGAAGCTGGGTTTAGGGTTTAGGGTTTAGGGTTTAGGGTTTAGGGTTTAGGGTTTAGGGTTTAGGGTTTAGGGTTTAGGGTTTAGGGTTTGTCGGGTTTTTATGCGGGTTTCCGATACTGCGGGGGGGGGGGGGGGGGGGGGGGGGGGGGGGGGGTCGGGGGGTACGCCTTGTTTCGGGGTTCCCAAGATACTCGGGTCCTCTATTGACTTGCCCAGATGGGGTTTAGGGTTTGCGGGGTCTGGTCCTGTTTAAATTTTTTTGGGCGCGGGAATGTAGAGGGGATGCTTCACTATGGCGTCAGGATTCAGATAGCCAGAGGCTGTGTTCCCAAAGTTCACATGTAAAGCAGCACAAGAGCTGATAGTTTCAGGCTCTTTCTGCACATGTAAACCCTAACCCTAAACCCTAAACCCTAAACCCTAAACCCTAAACCCTAAACCCTAAACCCTAAACCCTAAACCCTCAGCGCTCATGCAGCAGCCCATTGATGTACGCGCCTCTCGGACTTCCAGAGAGTAGTTCTTTGGGGACCAAATGAAGCCTAACATTGGGACCATATACCCTATACTACTATAATCCCTATTGAGGCATTTGAACCATAAACCTTTTTTAGGGTTCACTTAGTCCTTAAGGTAGAGTAGGGCAACATGTCGGTGTGGCTGCCACGGGGTGTGCGGATTCCATCATCAGGACAGCAGCCGCATTCTCGCTTGCATGGCAGACCTCGGAATCAGGGGAGGCCAATCGTCATGCGACGTGCACGCGTTGTCGAAGTTGGCAGCCGGGTTTTGAAGTTCCTGGCCGGAGCCCGCATAGCAGCAGGTTTTCGTCACACGTGTGTGGTGAACACGCGCGGCCAGCTTGTCTGCTTTGGGTGGAACGAGTATGGGCAGTGCAACGTACCTCCCAACCTGAGTCCGGTTGTGGCAGTGGCTGCAGGCATACCTGTGCTCTGACTGTTGATGGTCAGCTTGTGGCTTTTGGCAGCAACTCACGAGGCCAATGCAGGGTGCCTGAGAACCTTGGCCCGGTCGAGTCCATAGCAGCAGGAGGTCATCACACCTGCGCCCTGCTGCCGAAACTTGTTTGCTTCGGTTTCAACAACCATGGTCAGTGTGATGTGCCATCGGATCTGGGCCCAGTTGTTGCTGTTGCAGCAGGGTATTATTACACGTGCGCCATGCAAGCCAACGGGCACCTCGTTTGCTTCGGGTCCGATAAGGTTTCCGTGCCTCCAGATCTTGGTCCAGTGGTTTCAGTGGCAGCAGGTGATGCACACATCTGTGCCATAAAGGCGGATGGCCAACTAGTTTGCTTTTCTTCTTCGCCGAATCCTAACCTTTTCAATGAAGTTGATGTGCCTCCGGATCTGGGTCCAGTTGTGGCTGTGGCAGCAGGAGACTCGCACAATTGCGCTGTTCAGGCAGACGGCCGGCTCCTTTGCTTCGGATATAATTATTCTGGCCAGTGCACCGTGCCTGCAGATTTAGATGCAGTTGCCGCCGTCGCAGCAGGAAATTCGCACACCTCTGTTTTGCTGGCCGATGGCTCACTGGCTTGCTTTGGCGCGACTAGAGACGGCCAGTGCGACATTCCAGCGTCATAGCAGAAGCATGCCCACCCGTGTCTACATGTGGGAGTTTGCGAAAAAGAAGGGACGCCTTAAATAGACACCCAAAGAAGGATTCCTTTCTAATCAGGACGCCAATAAGGTACCCCTAATTTCGGAAATCCCCATGTACATCAGACAAGGTAAACAAGGGAAATCAGGATCCCAGAGGGACTCTGAACCCAATGCCCGATAAGCCCTAAACCCTCCTAAACCCTAAACCCTAAACCCTAAACCCTAAACCCTAAACCCTAAACCCTGCCTTGACCTTATCCTCAGCTGGGATGGTAGCGTGTCGTAAAGGGCTGGGGGGCCCCGAACTGTATACAGTCCAAAGAATCTGTAGTGTCAGTGGATACCTTACCTCTTAATATCGCGGAGAGTTTAGGGTTTTGGATTTAGGACTAAGGGTTTGGGGTTTAGGGTTTAGGGTTAAGGTTTTCATCCTCTTGATTGACTTGAGCCGGTATGGCATCCATCAGCTCGGGTTTAGGGTCTAAGGAGTTTCGTGGCTTCCTCATCACTGCAACAGCTTCCATGAGCCACTGAAGTCATGAACTGCAAGCGCAGGGTGTAGGGTTTGGGGTTTAGGGCTTATAGGGCTTGACATACAAGATTTGTAAGGGGCATATGTGGTCCTTGATGTCTTTGGAGTTGTATTAAACCGTAGTAGGTTTCGCCTAGAGAATCTTATTCTGCATCACCCTTGCAAAGTGTTCCTTAAAAAGGATACAGGGTTTAGGGTTCAGGGTTCAGGGTTCAGGGTTTAGGGTTATACAAGGTTTAGGGCTCAGGGTTTAGGGTTCAGGGGTTTGGGGCTTGAGGTTCAGGATTATCAAGGGATGAAGACTCGCAGCCCTATGGTTGCACCCCTAAAGGTTTCTTCTTAATGTACTCCCCTTAATGTACTCCTAATATGGCCCCTCATATTCCCTTAGGGATCCTTACAAAGGAACCCCCAGAGATTTAGGGCTTCACGGCTCTGAGAGCAGGAACTTAACGGTGCGGCTTCGAATTTCGGATCCTGGTCCCGCTTCCTTCATGAAGACGACGTCCCTTCAAGCCATAGCCTCCCTTTGAGTCCTAATTAGAGTCGGGGGTTCAGGGTTTAGGGTTTGGGTTTGGGTTTAGGAGCGAATCACCAACAATCACTTCGAAAACTACGTTAGTACCTGCCCCGGGCCCTGGATACCCGTTCTAGCCAACACAGCCCCTGTATGACGCTTCTCGCCCTCATGAGCATCGGAATCCTGCGACGTAGCCTAAAACTGGCAATCTGGAGCAAACTACCCTCGCCTAAACCCTAAACCTAAACCTAAACCCTAAACCCTAAACCCTGAACCCTGAACCCTGAACCCTGAACCCTAAACCCTAAACCCTAAACCCTAAACCCTAAACCCTAAACCCCAACTCCAGTGCCCCAAGTACCGATGTGGGCCCTGAAAAGGAGGGGCGCCGGAGCCCAAGCAGCTGCCACACAACCTACTCACACCTAAGGCAGGAGTGGCTTAGGGTTTAGGGTTTAGGGTATAGGGTTTAGGGTTTAGGGTTTAGGGTTTAGGGTTTAGGGTTTAGGGTTTAGCAACGTCAGGGCTTCGAGCAGCTTAACCCTAAACCCCATTATCACACACCGACAAGAATCATGCCGGTTTGATCAACATCTTGTCAACGTTTTGACAAGGTTGGGGTTTGAGGTTTCGAGTGCAAGGAACTTAAACCCCAAGCCCGAGACCCTAAACCCTAAGTGAGGCCCACATGTTTGGAGCAACCCCCACAACTTGGGGCCTGGGGGCTGTTTCTTTTTTGGGGGTTTCTCAGCTCCGGACAGCCAATTCCACTGCTTGAGATCACTGGGTGGTTAGCCCTAAACTTTAAACCCTAAACCCCTAAACCCCTAAACCCCTAAACCCCTAAACCCCTAAACCCTAAATCCTAAACCCTAAACCCTAAACCCTAAACCCAAACCCCTAAACCCTAAACCTTCTTCTGGGCCCTTTCTGGTAGCCGAAAGTAGCAGGAATAGACGAGAAGAGAGACCCCTGAAGGGCAACACAATCTACATGGTAGTTGATCAAAATGCTCGTTCCCCAAATGTCTATGTTTCCCGTCCTTAGAAACTTTAAGAAGCTTGCCAGGGTTTAGGGTTTAGGGGTTTAGGGTTTAGGGACCTTGAGGTCAAACCCCAAACTTAGACCCGCCCCAACTGTGTGGGAGATGCACCCTGCCACAAAGTGTCAGGGTTTTTTGGAGCCTTCAACAAAACCTCTGAGGCCCTAGCTCAACCCGAAACCCTATAAACTAAGAAACCCTAGAAACCATAGAAAGTCCTTTACCCTCAACCCAAAAGTTCCTAAACATCCTAAGACCCCTAAACACCCTAAAGCACCCAAATAGCCCTTAAAGCCCTAAAACCTAAGCGCTGAACCTCATAACTCCCCAAGCTCTGGGTGCACATCAAGCCTACTATTTGCTTAAGAACGCCAAAAGAACAGAAATAAATAGTAATCCCTATATATGACCCTCAATAAGGGATAATATATATATATATATATTACCCTCAAGAAGGAATAATATATATATATATATATATTACCCTCAATAAGGAATAATATTTTTTTTCGGGGCTCTTAAGCAATTAGTAGAAGCTGCCAGGCTACGAGGCCGCCTCTCTACTTCGTGCCGGAGGCTCCACCGAAATGTTTAGAGCTCTTCGAGGGGAAACTAGGGTTTAGGGTTTAGGGCTAGGGTTTAGGGTTTCGGGTTTAGGGTTTAGGGTGTGGGGCGTATATTCTGTAAGCTACTGTAAGTGGCAGTGGAAATGAGGGCTTGCTTGGGGCTTCTATAATCGTTTCCCCCTTTTATTAAATGGACCCCTCATGATAAAAACACTTTCCGGAAAATCCTGCCGAAACCAACCCCGCCTTAAAAACCCTATTCCGAATTAGGGGGGGGTTCAGGCCTCCAAGAAACCCCTCAACACCAATAAAACCCTCAGAGGGTTTAGGCTTGGGGGTCTCTCTTTCAGTTTACACCACGCTTACTTAAGTTGATTACTTGAGTAACCCTGAAGTCTAATGAATTATGACATTTCGATAAGAATACCCCCTAATGATAAAAACACTTTTCGAATTTTTAAAGGGGGAGGGGGGGGGGCCGGTTAATATTAGGGGGATGGGATTAATCGTGATAGTCCTATTTTGAGATGGAGCCTAGAACTTTGGGATCTGTGTTAAGATCCAAGTTTTAGGAAACATGTCCATGTTGGTCTAGTCCTCCCTTTCATTCTCAGCATGCCTTTCATGTCGGTGGTATCGATGGCAGAGGTACCACCTGTTCCAAAACTGCCTAAGACTTGCGAGCTTGATAAACCTTCCCCTAAACCCTAAACCCTAAACCCTAAACCCTAAACATGAGAACCACCAGGCATGACATGCTTGACAGGTCGCGCCTCAGATACGGTCGCCAGGGTTCCAATGCATTCGCCACGAGCCCTGTGCCAGATCTAACCCTAAACTCGGCAGGCCCCTGGGATGTTTTGTATTTTACCTTGTGAGGTGTTTTAATGAGGTTTACGCGGATCATGTTCAAGAATATTTTTTCAGAAGGTGTTCAGGGCCAACCTAGTAAACCCTCAACCCTAAACCCTAAACCCTCAACCCTAAAGCCCTCAGATGGCAGCCAGGACGTGATCGCGCAGTCACAAACAGACCCGCAGATGTTGGTTCAGTGGCTCTTCACCAACGCATCAGACTCAGCTCTGTTTAGGCTTTAGGGTTTAGGGTTTAGGGTTTAGGGTTTAGGGTCTAGGGTCTAGGGTCTAGGGTTTAGGGTTTAGGGTGTAGAGGGCAGGCCCTTGGAATTGTTTGAAGTTTAGGCTTCATGGCCTTAGGGTTCAGGGATGAAATATGCTCCATGGAAACCTATCTACCCTTGGACAGGGAAATGCACCCAAAATGGAGCTGCATGCGGTTTATGGCGTTTGGGCTTGTTCGGGCTGCTTGCATTTAGAGCCTATAATATGGAAGAGGCAGCTGCCATACTTGCTGTATCCTGTATTTTTCCTGAACCCTAAACCCTAAACCCTAAACCCTAAACCCTAAACCCTAAACCCTAAACCCTAAAGGATTTAAGGTTTTGGCTTTGGCTTGTTCTGGCCTTGGGCTCGAACTTCTGGGAGCTCCTATGGCTTCCGGATCCTTTTCTTGGGTTCCAGGGTTCCAGGGTTCCAGGGTTTAGGGTTTAGGGTTTAGGGTTTGGTTTAGGGTTCAGGGCTTCTTCCTCACCATCCAGTTACACCAAATCACCAAATCACGAAAACTCCAAAAAACTCTCATTCACACGGTGATACAGGCTTAATCTTCTTGGGGTACTTGGTGAAAAAAATCTGGCCACCCTCAGTTCGAAGCCCTGTACGACCCTGAGCCCTAGGAGGGTGCAAGTAAGTTTGAAACCTTGAACAATTTCAAAGCCCTTATCCCCTAAACCCCTAAACCTTGAACCCCAAGCTCTGAACCCCTAAAGCCTAAACCCTGAACCCTAAACCCTAAACAAGACAAGCTGAAACTCACAAGGCACCGCGCTACTACGGCGACGCACCCCGGCTCGCATTGGCAGCCCTAGCGGACCCACCCCAAACCCTAAACCCTAAACCCTGAACCCTAAAGAGGTCGTTACCCCTATTCCTTTCTCTTGGGAATTCGTGAAGCTAGCAACTTTCTATCGCCCTGCCCTTTGGAGGTTGTTTGGGGTACCTACTTCCCGCAATCCTTACCTTTTGCACCACGAAGTTTTATTTAGGGCTATGGATCTCCTATAGCACCCTAAACTTTGTCATAGTTGGGTAACATTTTACATGTTTAAGGGTACTTAAGCCCAATAGAGAATCAACATTTGGATTTTTAATACTATCCCAACCATGAACTAGTAAAGATGAAAGGTTTTCGGGTTTAGAGGGTTTAGGGTGCTGCCGCCGACCGCAGAGCTACTTGCTGCGGCAGGGCTTGCTATATATATATATATATATGTATATATATATATATAGGAACATCTTCCTTCTGTTGGAAGTTTTGGCGAACCCGGTATTCCCAAACTCCTAGACCTAGCAGTAGCCCGAAATCCTAAACCCTAAGAACCCAAAGCCCTAATCCCTAAAACCTTTCTGGTACATACGCTGGAAAAAACGCACGACATCCCCAAACCCCTAAACCCGATACTAACCCCAAACGAAACGGCCTTCACCAGTAGCCTTAAACCCTAAACCCCCAAACCAGTAGCCTTAAACCCTTTTCTAAGCCCCAGAGCAATAGCCGCAGCCTTATACCCCTGAACCCGAAACCTTTGGTTCGCAATCGGTTAGGCTGACTGTTGGGATGTTTTGTATTTATCCTGGGTTTATAGGGGGGCGGTTTGCGAAAATAGGGGACCCCTGATTTAGTCCCCAAATAGTAGGATTCCATTAGTAAGGACCCCAATATAATAAGGTACCCCTGATTTCGGAAACCCCCTTTTATAAATGCTTTTCACAGGGTTCAACCCTAAACCCTAAACCCTAAACCCTAAACCCTAAACCCTAAACCCTAAGGGTTGAAAGGCTGCCCCAGCAAGCTCCCGAGTCTCTCCCAGGTCACAGACCTCGCAGCCTTCGCCGGGGCCTTGTCTGAGGCGGACGCCTGGGGCCGCGCCCTTGGCTTCGCTTCTTGAGAGGGTGGGTTTAGGGTTTAGGGTTTAGGGTTTAGGGTTTAGGGTTTAGGGTTTAGGGTTTAGGGTTTAGGGTTTAGGGTTTAGGGTTTAGGGTTTAGGGTTTAGGGTTTAGGGCTTCGGGGTTTAGGTTTAGAGGATGTAAGTCTTAGGGTTTAGGGTTGCTTGTGGGGATGGGACTTCGGGTTTCGGGTTTCGGGTTGTAGGGCGTAGGGTTTAGGGTTTGGGGCTTAGGGTCTAGGTTTAGAGCTGAGCATTTAAGTTTTAGGGTTTAGGGCTGCTTCTGGGGATGGGACTTCGGGTTATAGGGCTTAGGATCTAAGGTTTCGAGATAGGATTCGGGCTTAGGGCTTTGAATTTGCGGACATGCCGGTGGTTTCGGGGAGGGGATCAACACGCGCATTTTGGCACAAGCAACTCCAAGGAAGATTGGGGTTTACGAGAATAGGGGAGCCCTAAAATAGACCCCCAAAGTGTAGGATCCCCTTACAATAAGGGCCCCAATGAGGTACCCCCCGAACATCGTAAACTTCGTAGTAGAGTAGGCGGGTAACCTTTCACCTTTTTGGGGGGGCATTCTAATCCCTATAAAGTCCCAAAGGTTAACCTTTAATTTGCCAGGTTTCTCTGGACAACCAAGTAAATCTCCATATTTGGGAACCAGCAAGGCCTCCGAAGTGAGATCTGCCCTGCCATATCTGCCTTGGGAGGAGGAAATGTAGGATGTGTAGGACCACTGGGAATGCTGCGGGTGGGGAATGGGACCCTGAACCCTAAACCCTAAACCCTAAACCCCTAAACCCTTAACCCTAAACCCTAAACCGAAAACCCTAAACCCTAAACCCCAAACCCCAAAACCCAAGCCCCAAACCCCAACCCCTAAACCCTAAACCCTAAACCCTAAACCCTAAACCCTAAACCCTAAACCCTAAACCCTAAACCCTAAACCCTAAACCCTAAACCCTAAACCCTAAACCCTAAACCCTAAACCCTAAACCCTAAACCCTAAACCCTAAACCCTAAACCCTAAACCCTAAACCCTAAACCCTAAACCCTAAACCCTAAACCCTAAACCCTAAACCCTAAACCCTAAACCCTAAACCCTAAACCCTAAACCCTAAGCTGAGGTGGCACGAGCATTGGCAGCTGGCAGGGATGGCGGCAGGAGGCCATTCGAGACGGCTTCAAGTTCAGCAGGGAGATTAATTCTATAGGGTCGAGAATTAGGGTTTGGGGTCTAGAGTTGTCGAGTTTCACCCAATAGTCAAAACATTCCTTTAGGGCCTTATTAGTTCGCATAGGGTTTTGGGGGATTATAAGGGAAACAAAATTGGCAGTTCTTGCGACCCGCGGTTTTAGTGTTTAGCAGGGTGTGTTTGCGGGGCTTTCGAGACTAGTCCTCCAATCTCAAACCCTCAAACCTACCTAAACCCTAAACCCGAAGCTCGAAGCCCTAAACCCTAAGCCCTAAGCCCTAAGCCCAAAGCCTGCCACCTGCGCAGGTCGACACTCCCGCCGCCGAGGAACTTGCAGAAGCCTCGGCAACCCAGCAGCTGTTGAAGCAGAACAAGGTTTAGGGTTTAGGGTTGCGGAAGGGGCCAAAACCTATTGCGAGCTTTACCCAACCTCGCACCAATCTGTGTGGCGTTGTGTGGTTGAGTGCAAGCTGGCTTGTGCAAAAGTAGTGGACAGGTCGGCGAAGTAGGAGAAAGAGGAGCAGCAGGAGAGGGAGCAATAGGACTTAGTATTAGTGAGTGTTTTCACGACCCGAAGTGCCATCTTTTCGTGACAACCTTTTGAGTTCATCCTTCGGTCCTTGGTACCCGTCCCCACAGACCACATCTCCGAGATGCAAAATGGAAAAGGGTTTAAAGGGCCCCAAAGGGCTTGGTCTGGGCTCATGGCTGCTGAGTAGGATGCTTGAGAATGGAGCATGTGCGGGTGCCTTCGAAGGCTCTTCGTGAGTGTTTTTCATAAAAAAACATAGGTTTGTGGCATTTAAAACTATACCATACCCATGCTTCCGACGCAAAGGATGTCTGTTCGCCTACGGATTGCACCTTGGGCCCCTAAACCCGTAATATCGTGACTCTGGAACAGTGGACTCTAAACCCTAAACCCTAAACCCTAAACCCTAAACCCTATATCGTGCCGGAGCCACTCAGGCCACATCGGTGGAAGTTCGATCGCTGCTTGACGAGAACCCGGCATGCTTCGTGGGATCAAGGGTCTGGGATGTGCACACCTCAGCCCTTTGTAGGTCCCAAACCGCTTAACCCACCCTTCCACTAAACCCTAAAACCCGAAGACCCGAAACCGTTACCCCAATGCCCGCAACCGAAGAGCAGAGGACCATCTTGGGACCATCCTGGGTTTAGGGTTCCGGGTTTCGGGTTTCGAGGTTGAGTAGGGTGCGGCATGGTGCAGCAAACCCCCCTACTCGAGCCAACCCTCCCTGTATCCCACCTCTCAGCCCCCCCATTATCTTGTAAGCGACAGGTGATTTGAACTTCGCCCGGCTCTCCAAACATGACCACGAAGTAAGACAGGGGTCGGGATCATTACTAAGAATATTCCCTTATAGTCCCTCTATACTTATATTGCAATACCCCCCAAGAACCCTGTTAGAATCTATAAGGCCCCTATAGTAGGTAAACAGCATCTTGCCTTTACAAGCTCCCGTGCGAACTTGACTGCCCTTAAGCCCCAAATTAGACAAAATGGTTGAATTCTTTGGGTTCTTAACCCCTGTGACATCGAAAGCCCAAGACCACGTAACCCCTAAAGTGCACTTAAGCCAAGAATCTACACCCTAAACCCTAAACCCTCCTGTGACGGAACTCTACCCCAAAGCATGTCCCCTTTGGTTTGCTCCAGCGCCAGGCAAACCTCCACCCAGTACCGCCCAGCTTCCGCTCCGCCGTGGCGAGCACGAACGCGGACGTCGCGGCTGCGCCTGGGCACCTGGTAGTTGAAGCCTTGAAGGGTTTAGGGTTTCGGGTTTATAGGGTTTAGGGACTAGGGTTTAGGACCCTCAGCACCCGAAACAGCCTAGAAACCCTAAAGCCCTAAACACCCCTAGCACAAGAAAGGGCCTCAGGATTTAGGATTCAGGGGTGGTGTGTCTACAATCTCGAGACTTCAGGGTTCCACAAAAAAAGGACAACCTGAAACCCCCCCTGAAAGCCGCAGAAGATCTAATCCTTGAGCCTTGAATCTTCGATTCCATGCTGCTTGCCCTCCCTCCGCCCTGACGCGTAATGAGTCGCTTCTGTCTGCAGGTCTACATTTAATATGGCTGGCACCTCAGTCGAGGGCAGCAGCTCTCATTTCAGAATGGTGTGTTTATATGCCACTTTCTTGGTGTTTCTGTAGTTCTATTTCCGGGCTTGGGGTGTTGGCCGGGTTAGTGTTAGCATTGAGTGGACATGTGCACGTGGCGGGGAGAGGGGGGCTAGGAAGGATGACGTAACAAGAAGAAGAGTGTGCACAAGGGCATTATGGAAGTTTGTGTGAGGTTCTCTAAATTATGGTCCGTTTTGGTTGGATCCTTCCAGGGGTCTGGGTGTAGGAGACCCTAACTGAAAGTCTCCGTTTTACCTATCCACCATTTGGCCACGTTCCTGCAGTGGACAGGAAGAAACCTGGACACCTGTGAAGCCCTCAACACAACATCCCAAGATGGCATCGATGGACATATTTTTATGTCCGAGGCCCTTCACCCTCAAGTGGCTTAGGGTTTAATATGAAAGTGATTGATTGGTGAATGTGTGTATGGCTACCTATAAGTATTGGAGAGTGTGTGTTTTTTCGGTGTCCATTTGGGGATACTTTCAAAAAGACAACCCTACCTGAAATCCTGAAATTCCGAAATCTGAGGTCAGGCCTTCCACTTGGGATGTGCAACGCCATCGCAACCGACGGTTGGAGGAGCCATGCAGGTTTCCCTAAACTCCCCGACAACAACACCAAGCCCCCAAACCCTACAAACCTTATATATATGTATATACATATATATATATATATATATCCCTATACGCCCTATACACGCTGTAACCCTGTACGCCCTTTAGACCCACAAACCCTGCATGAACCCTCAGTTCCCTATACACCCTCCAAACTCCCCAACAAAAACCCTAAACAACCCTAAGCCCCTAAACTCTCAGCCGCCAACGCCCTCTAAGCCCCCCAAAACCCTACAAAAGCCCTAAACCCTAAACCCTAAACCCGAAACCCTAAACCCTAAACCCTAAACCCTAAACCCTTAGATTCCAAAGCCCCAAAAGCCCCAGGAGCTAGCCGGGCACCTGGCCAAGATGGGCCCCGAAGCGCTCGGGAGCCTGGCGGTCCGTGCGGGCCCCGGAACTCGGAGGTAGCCTGCCTAGGGTTTAGGGGTTTAGGGTTTAGGGTTCAGGGTTTAGGGTTTAGGGTTTAGGGTTTAGGGTTTAGGGTTTAGGGTTTAGGGTTTAGGGTTTAGGACTAGGGCTAGGGCTTGGGGTTTGGGGTTAGGGTTTAGGACGTAGGGTTCAGGATTTGTGATCTATGGTTTACCCTTCTATATATGCCGTAGAACTGAGGCTTACAGAGAAATTGCGTTCATTTGTGGAAGATACTTGTGGGCCCAAGTATTCTCTTTGGAAAATACTTTTGGGCCCAAGTATTCCCGAGGAACATGTCCTTGGATCCTTTGTGTGTGTTCTGGGTTCAGGTTCAGGGGTTTAGGGTGCATTTGGGGGCGGGCGTTCGTTAGGAACTAGCAATCAGTTTGCGAGGCTTTCTGGGGTACACTTTTTTTGGGCAGCTGCACGTACTCGGGGTTTATGCTGCTTGTGGGTGTAAAGCGTGTTTTAGCCTTCAAGGGTTTCTGGGGTGTCGGGCTCTAAGTGTAGGGTTTCTCCCTAGGTATCAGTAGGCTCATCACGCACCCCTTTACTCTCATATTAGATGTACTTAGCATGGTAGACCTTATGCTATCTCACTATGCTCGTGTTTTGTTATAGTTTAGGGTGCCGAAAAGGCCCCCCCCCCCACCCATGTTCGTGCGCCTCGGGAGTCACGGCTGCTGGTCAAGTTTGCCAGGACTTGTAGGGCTGGCAATGGTCATCACTAGAAGCACAACCAAAACCATAGTCATAATCGCAGGAAGCCTTGAAGCAGACAGGCAGGTTTCATCGTGAGAGCCGCAAGGTGCCGATCCGCGCGGTCAGATGCATGCTCACAAAGTTCCCCCCCTCCAACAAAGAAAGGCGCTCCAGTCCCTTCTACACCCAAACCCTAAATCCGAAAAACCTGCAACCTGCAACCTGAAACCAAAACCCAATAAACCCTGAGCCCTCTATGTGGGCCCTGATGAGCCCAAGACCTTATGATTTTTAGGTTCCCTCAGAGCACTAGAAAGAGGCCTAGGGTTGGGGGCTTATAGGGTTTTGGGTCACAACTAAGAGGCTGCAAAGAGTTGGGAGCCCCTGAACTCTACGCAACCTCTGGGGTTTAGTGTTTAGGGTTTAGGGTTTAGGGTTTAGGGTTTAATCCACAGGTCCGAGTTTGATCACGTCCACTCTGCCCTTCGTGCACTTGATACTTCAAGCTAGCAGGCGGGAAACAACTTGCCCACTTTTTTTTGGGGGGGGGATTCAGGGTTCATGGTTTAGGGGTGCGGGCGGAGGGTTAAGGATACGGGGTTCCAGGGGCCCAGCCTAAGACGACATTTCAGCAAGCCGGGTTCCAGCTTGCAAACCCTAACTTAGGACCCCACCACCCATGTACCCTTTGAAGGGGAATGAATTAATACTGAGTCACGGGGCTTTGGAAATTACGGGTAATTCTCGCATTTTCCTTTCTTGAGGGTACATGGGTGTTTTCGCCTGGACATTGGCAAGGCGTTTGTGGTGCTTCGATGTCAGGAGTCTAGGGTTTAGGTTTTGGGGCTTAGGGCTTAGGGCTTAGGGGGGGTTAGGGGGTTTCAGGTTGTAGGCTTTCATGTTTCATGTTTCCAGTAGTCTGGGCGCACTTTCCCCGGACCTTCTGAGGGCCTAACCCTTCCGCAAACCCTAACTCTAACCCCTGAACGACTAATTTCGCACACCTTCCATATCGATGGCTGGGAGCTTGACTGCTTGCAACTTTGACAGCGCTTGGGTTTCGGGTTTAGGGTTACAATGGGTCCAGCTGAACAAGGAAGGCCCTAAACATCAAAAG